TTCCTTAGAAAATAGATTTAAATATTCTTTTTACCTTATACAGTAATATAACTTTAATATGGTTTCAATATTCAATTCAATTCTAATAATATAAAAAATTATTTATTTGAAACATTATTAAGAAAATACTATCTTCTTATATTACAATGAAATACTTATTTGAAAATGAAAAAAAGAAACAATAAAATTGACTACTATTTCAAAAAAGATTTATTTATAAAATTCTGAATCATTGGGAGAAATAAAAATATTTTATCTATTTCAAAAATCTATTTTTCTTAATTCTGTCTTGAGCAATAAAAATAATCAGATAACAGTTCCCTATAAATCTTTTGAAAAACTTTATGCAGGTCAATGGTTCAACTTAACGATAAGAATTAGTTGATAATGATCTACAATCATAATAACAAAAATCGTTGAAAGAATATTTATGACAATTGATTCCAATAAACAGAAACGCTATTTTAAAGATAGTTCTCTATGATGTTTATATTTTACAATTATATCGAAATAATATTTAGCAAATACAATGGAAAATAACTGAGAACTTTTTGTAGTCACAAGATATGTATCTTAATGATATTGCATTGCTCATTGATTTTGAACATTGTTTGTTTTATACTATATTTTACAAGGTGATTCATAGAGGTAAAAGAATTGTGGTGGATGGATATTTTTGGATTGAAAAATTGATTGCAATGATTAAAATGAGAAAATGCAATCAATATTGGCTTGAAAAAGTTTAAGAATTGAAAATGAATTTACTCTTTATCTTATTATTTTCTTCAATTTACTTTAATTTTTCCAAATCTTGATCATTCCAAATTTTTTTTAAAGCAATAAACAATTGAAAAAATTTAAAAATATATTATATATATTTAAAAATATATATAATAATATATGATTAAAAATTATATTTTTAATCATTTCTATGAAGTAATAAATAATAAAATAATAAAATAATAATAAAAATATATTAATATATAATAAAAAATGTATTAATTCTTTTTTTAAATTTCTTTGATTGAAATTTTGTTTTAACGATGAAATAAGGCTTTTTAAAAAAAATCTGTAATGATTTATTAAATTTAATTAAAGTTGGGAAAAGTGTTTAAATTATAAATTTACCAATATGTTTAAAAAGTAGAAATGAAATTAAAATATTATTGGATTACATGAATATGATTATATGATTGTATTTAGTAATATAGTCATATGATGGATGAACTTTGATATAAATAGTCTTTCTTGCACTTGAACTATAATCTACACTATAACTGTAAATATCCATTATATATAGGTATAAGGGATTAAATTTGAATTATGATGGAGGATTAGAATATAATTGATTATGTTTGATGAGCATAATAACTTGTAAGAATTGTGAGAAAAAATTCTTTATTATAAGAAATATAATAGAACTATATGCATTAAAACTACATTATAATAGAATTAAATTTAATATAATAATGATTATTATTATTTGATAAGAAATATTTTTCACTATAAAAATTAATAATTTAAAAGTATATGTGCATTTTAAAATTATAAATTCTATATTTATATTTACCTATCTTGTTATCAATATGATTACTGCTTAGTTAAACAGATGTAATCAGTGTACAAATTATTACCATCCAAACAATTCTATTGTACTGATCAAACATTTAATATTTTTTTTCAAAAATATCTTACATTTAAATAACTTGAGCAATAAAAATAATTGATCATTCTCATATTTGATCATTTTGATCATTCTCATATTTATTTTATTCTTTCAAATTTTTTCCAATATAATAATAGATTGCAAATTCTGTGCAAAAAATCAATATCTCCTATTCAAGTTCCAAAACAAATTCTTGTAAAATATAATTATTAATAAATTAAATTTATTTTATTCTAAAGAACATTGATTCTTTAAAGAATTTATACGAGTACAATCGGTTAACACGTAGCTATTGCAAAAGTTGTAATCGCTTATAGTAAGAGAAACGAGCCAATCAGTGTAAAGTTTACCATGAAATAACGGGTTGCTCGTGAAAATCTGATTCGTCTATGTACCAACACGGAACCATCGATGGGATTACGTTGTGGACCAAGTTCGAGTGGATCTTGTCGAACACTGAGCGTACAAGTGCTACAGGTTACGGCCTTGCGAAATGGCCAACGAACGGAACTGCACAGGGGCATCGTTCTTCCGCATCCGTTTCCAACCTCCCTTCCGTTCGATTTTCTGTTTCTTTCGCACAAAACGAACTTTTCGATCAAATAAAATGTATCAGATACTTTGAATTTATTTATTTTTTCACGTAATTTGGTGAAAAAACAATCGAAATTTTGTTTGTTTTTATTTAATTTCAATAAAATTAATACACTAAAATTAATACATATCTAAATAATAACGAAAATAATAGCTATATGTAATTATATTTATCTCAATAAAGTGGAATATTAATTTCGTTAAAAATATTTGTATTTTTTTAATAATTATAAATTATAAAATTTATCATTTTAACATATTGGATAATTCAAATGTTAATATAAAAATAGCATAATAATAATGATAAAATATGAAAATAGTTATATAGTCTTCAATTAAGATAATTTTATATATATATATAGATTTAAATAATATTTCAATATTAATTACTGAAATATTGATACATGAACATATTATTGTTATTATATTATCAATAGAATGTAGAAACAGTAAGTTCAATTTTATTTAACTTACATTTATTTAATCTTCTATATTTATAATTAAAATTTCATAGCTGGAATATTCATATTTTAATTTTTGCTTTTGCATTTTTTAATTATTTTATAAATATATTATCAATGTAATTTATTTTTTTTTCTCCGTATCAAAAAAAAATTCGATTGCAGAAAATTAATATTGAAAATTGAAACTTTTATATATTTTATATTAAAAAGAATGTCATTAAAAACGCATAATTTTATAAATAACATTAAAGAATGAAAAAATTCATGACCTTTAAGTTCAATGATATACTATATTTCGATATACATTAAGGGCTATTTTTATGAAAAATTTATCTTTAATAATAATATTCAGAGATACATAATATACATGAATATTATCAATCCTTGAATTAATAAAAATAAAATAAATATAATTTTTTTTATTCTTGAAACTTTTAAAATAAAATAAATTTCCTAACCTATATTTAAAGTAATTCACATCTATTTAAACTAATCTAACTATATATATTTATAATAAAATATCTGAATTTAATAATTATAATAATAATATATAATAATATATATCCATAATATAATATTTAAATCTTTACCTTTATATTAAATGAATTACGATTTTAAAAAAAAAATAAAAAGAAAACTTCCCTCCGGAGAACGAGGGACAAACAAAACAAATGAACCGAATATACCGAGGGAGACCCATGAGATTTCAGACGTTTTGTTTGCCTTCAAGTAATGTCTTTAAGTAATAATACACGTAACGATGTGTAAATAAAGGGCATTATTAATTTCTGCGAATTATACATGCACATGTGTACGTAGTTCGTTCGAATGAATCACAAAAGCAAAAAGGTTGAAACTTTTGTTTTGACGACGAATAAGTGCCAACAGAGAGTTGTTTATATGTAATAATTAACTAAAATGAATTCAATTAATTTCCACGAATCGCATTTCCGTTCTATTCATTTATAAATCAACGCACATTTCATCATTAATTTTTCCATTGACGCCACGTTCCTCGAACCGTTTGCCATCACTATTCATAAAAAAAAAAAAAGAGTCCGATACTTGATCGATAATAAATTTTAATCGAACATACATAGACCACTCGTACAATTTTTCGACACTTTTTCAGCCGTCGATAAATAGTGTACTTCATCGGAGGCAATTTTATTTTCATTCTCCATCACTGACTCTATAATCACGCAAATAATAGCTGAGGGACTTTGCGAGAAACGAATAAAAAAAAATTGGCGTGCAGATCTGATGGTCTCGAATTACTCGTCAACATCAGACCAGAATATTTTTCGTCTCATGTTTTTGTGCCTCGTGCTCCGATATCTCGACCGACCGAGAGAGAGAATATAAACAACGGTCCAGTGATGGTGCGACACAGCATGGCGCGAGAAAAAAAGCACTAGATAATGTTTGACCAGGTGTACGATCAGCGTATATAAGAATTCCTATCCTGTCGTAACATCAGCTATCAAAGCGAATCACTTCACTCTCGTAAGAATTTCGAAATAATAGATTCGCGGCACGCACTGAGCAAGGGCGTGTAATTTCCCGTGATTTACCATATTATATAATTATGAGGTAAAAATGCCTCATAAAGTACATCTTTTAAGAATTTATTCAGAAATGATCAACATTAATATCAAATTTTTATATCTCATTCTTTCAACAATCGCATAATTTTTAATGTGAGAATTGAATGAATTTTTAAATCAAAATTTATTAACAATTGCTTTATATTTTCTTCAAAATTAAGAAATTTTCTAATAATGAAACAAACAATTGAGTAAAAAATAATTCGATGAATATAATATGATCAAAAACCATCTTGAGATCAAAATAAATATCCTATCTCATCAAACACACGTTACGATAAAATGAGTAAACAAATTCGTGCAATTGGAAATAAAGTGTAAACAATCACGATCAAATCGCATCGTGGTGCTGCTGTTTAAAATTTCGACATGTACGAAGCAAAGAATACGTGTGAGAACGCGAAGCATCAATAAATGACATACACGATATTTCTATAAAGAAATTCCATAAGCGGAAGCATTTCGAAGAAACGCTTGACGGATAGACGGGAGAATCGGCAAAGCGTGTTCGAATACTCGCTGGAACGCGCGTTCGATGAATTCGTACAAAATACTATTTTAAAACAGAACTTGCTAGGCGATAACACGACATAACGAAAAAGACGATCGAACGATTGTCGAAAAAATGACAGAAGGGAGAAAGAAGGCTATGAAAGTAATCGTACTCACCTCGGTAGCGGCGTTGCATCCCGCGAGAATGACGGCCGTACTGATCAAAATCCAGTATATCCTCGGTTGCATCTTTCCTTTGTATTTGCCGGTGGGCCCGTTCACGAGCCCTCTGAATAATCACGGCGTCGACTCAAGAAAACCAAACGAAAAAAATACGCGTATGTCCTAGGCAGGAACAAACCACCAAAAAATCCACCGGAGCAACAACGCGACACACACCACACTGATCGATGAACCGCGAGACACTGAGGGCGCGTCGATCGGTCACTTCCATCGCAAAACTTCCACCATCTTGAATGATTGTGAGCGCCACGTAGTGATTATCGCGAACATTAGTCTTAAACAATCTTTCGATACTGCGTGAATAATTTAAACTCGTTAAAATGTTTTTTTATAAGAGTGATTATATTTCTTAACAAAAAATTAATAAATTATGTAGACAATAAGAAAATTTATTAAATGTTATGATACGTAAGTAGTTCAAAATCAAAATTAAAATGAAATTAACAAAGAAGTAAAAATACTTTCTTGCTAATTTTTTTACGTCATTTTATTTTTTAAAAAATAAAATAACAGAATAAATTAACGTTATATATAAAACAATTTAAAAATTACTTTATTTTGTTTTTTTAGAAAATTAAAAAAAGATTCAAAAAAAAATAATGAAATGAATTGAAAAAACAATGGCGGGAAATGGCATGACATCATGGTGAGTTTCATAATAAAAAATGTATTCTTAACTTATGTTTAAAACTTAACTTAAAACGTAACTTATGTTTCAAAAATCATAAAAACTTACATAGGTTTTTCATTTTAAAATAAAAATTGGAAGAAAAACTATCGTATTTACGATTCACTTTTTAATTATAAAATGTAAAACTTTGAATTACATTGACTATACTGCTCGAGTATAGATTTCTAATTTTAATATACAATATATTATTATATTCAATATATATATGTATATATATATATATTATTAGCAATTATTAAAATATGTCTCAAACTATCAAAAAAAAAAAAAAACAATTATAAAAAGAATATTTTTTTTATTTTTTATCACTAGCCGAAATATCTTTTTCGAGACCTTTTAAAAATCGAAGATTTTCATTAATAGTACGGTTATATTCATCAATTTTATTTTGCATCGACGTAACTTCATCTTGCATACATTTTACTTCTTCTTGCATTTTTTGTTTTAACATTTCTAATAATTCTTTATCCTGGGAAATAAATGATCAAATGTCTTTATTGTTTATGATTATGTTATTTATTCAAAATTACCTGTTTGTAATAATATTCAGCTTCAAATGCAATATCATCATTTGAAGTTTTATTTTTATTAGAATCACTGTACTTTCTTGTAAAATATCTGGAACTATTCAAACCGAACAAATTATCGGATTATTTTTTAAAAAATGACATAACCATAAAAAAAATTTTTTAAATTTAACTATAAATTGCAAATTAAATTTTTAAATTTTATTATACTTACTTAATCTTGATTACTTCGGACGAAAATTTTCGTATACAATGTCGAAACATTGTTTTTTATAATTTTTAATATTATTAATTTTACGAAAAAGAAATCGCTCAAGAAATTGAACGGAACAGAAATTTTGCGATTTTCTGTCATGGACAGTGAAACATTTGAATATAAATATAATCGAAAATATTGAAATAATCGATTTGTATTGAAATTTTTTCATTTGAAATGTATATATAAGCTTTGTTATTTTATAAATACAGAAAATAATTTGTCTATTTTATATTCAATATATATATAATATATATAATATTTTTCGATTTAAAAAAAGTACAGACATAAACGTCTACTAATTATTATTAATAGTAATATAATAGTTACAAGAGCATTACATTACAAAGAATAACAATTCGCTTAAAGAATAAATACATGGATAATTTTATTTCTTATCCATATCTGTGATTCTTTTTTTATGACGGTTTATGGCTTCTTGATGACGTTTAATTTGTTCTTCATGAAAAGAGATTTCATCGTGAAGGTCTTCTTTAAGTTTTTGTAGCTGTTGCTTTTGCTAAAATCAAAAAAATCAAAAAAAGACTTCTAAATAAATCCCTTCCAATGATTACATCATATACTTATGTTTGTAATATAAAAAAATAAAATAAATTAAAAAAAAATAAATAATAAATTAAATATTATAAAAATTTAATTAGTACCAAAAGAAAATAATAACTAACCAGATTATAGAAATACTGATCTTCATGAGCAGCTTCCATTTTTCCAAAAGATCCTCCAGCTTCACGGATAGAGCCACCACCACCACCTCCTTTACCTGCTCCAGATCCACGTTCTCCAATCATTCTTACTTGGCTAAGATGATCAAATGATCAAACTTTAATTAGTCTCTCTCAATATTAATAGTGTCAAAAAAAAAGCTTTGACGCAGTAGTAGCAGTTAAAAATATACAAAGTATATTTATATCGTCAATACAATAAATACTTGAACATAAAACATTCATATTCACATAATAAAAAATATTTCAACTGTAAATTATAAATGTTATAATTACAAAAAAAATTAAATAATTAAAAATATACATGAAAACCATATATAACCATCTTTTCATAATGATAAAATCAATAACTATTACATAAGTACATATCATGAAATTGAAGAAAATCTTACAAACTTATTAGAATTTATAAGAACATATTTCAATCTAAAATTTATTGTAATTTATTATAAGAATTATCTCATAAAAAAATAAATGATACAAAATATATATTACTTTTTATTATGCAAGAACTGTGTAAAAGCCGGAATCAATTTAAACTACGCAAAAAAAGAAATTTATATAGAAATGTATATAATCTATTTATTAAACATCCTTATAAAATTTATTTTTTTGTACCTCAACAAAGCCATATTTCGAGAAATTGTAGTAATAACTCGTTGCATTCTAGATAGAAGAATTATAAAATATAATACTTCCGTTAGAAACCATACACTACTATAAGAAAGAGAACATTACGATGTATTATTCCATTACTAGGATGTCCGCGAGATGGCTGTTCTGATACACATTTGGCGGCAATATTAATTCAATTTTTTTACATATAAAATTTTTATCATATTTATCATAACTTTAAATGTAAAAATTAAAACAATTAATAAAAAAGAAATTTTTAAAAATATAATGTTTTCAAGAATACATATGATTACCGATAAATTTAAAAAATTTAAAGAAATATGATCAAAGTTAAAGTAAAAAAATTTTTTATTTAAAGTAAACTATTTTAACTAGAAAAATTTTTTAATATAATTCGTATTCACTAAATTCATTATTTATTTATTTATTTTTCTAATAAAACATCATATCCTTAAAATTAAAAAATTAATGTTGATATAAATAATGTATATATTTATTTTTCACAAAAAAAGTAAAAATTTTATTCTGAAAAATTATTTTAAGTAATATACAATTAATATTATTTTTTATCTATGTAAATAATCTTAAAAGAGATATCTTAAAACAGATATGAATAATATTAAATAAATAAAAATTTAAATAAAATTTTGTTCCATTTTTTTGAAATATTTTTCTATTAGAAATAATTAATAATTAATTATTAATTAGAAATAATTAATAATTTTTATTTATTCTATAATAAAACAATTATAAAATATTACCTATAATATTCAGCAGCTTGATTCTCCACAAGTTGTCTCTTGATTTCGGAAGTTTTCAATTCGTTGATCGCAGTCTGTTTCTGCAATTCTACCTTTTCTAAAGCAATATTTAACATTCTTAGCTTCAACTCATGTTCTCTCTGAGCCATTTCGAACATCCACATTCTTCCTTGAATAGATTCATCTTGTTCATTATTAAACCTACTGTTTCTTTCCTTCATGTAAGACGTAGATACACCATCTTCTATTAAAAAAAATAGATAAAAATTAAACAAAATTATTTCAATTCCTTTAAAATCATAAAATATTTAATATATGTTTTATTTATATATTTTGTTTATTTAAAATTTTAATTTATTATTCTCTTCACTATATGAAATAATATTTAAAAAAAAGCTATGGATTCTCTATTACGATTTTCTTTTTTTAAATTTTAAAACAATGTTCATGTTTGTCTAAAGTAACTAATGGAAACTAGGTAGAAGGTGACTTTATGTATAAAAATAAATCGAAAAGAATAATATTTTGAAATTTCGTTTTCAAGAAAATCGAGAATTAAAAACTTATTAAATATTCATGAATTCTTTTTTTAATTCTAACGATGAATAAATCAATTATCATCAGATTATATCAATTATCATCAAATTAATCTACATGTAAAGATAAATGAAAAATATAAAATAAAATTTTATTTAAAGTTAATTTTTGAAAAAATTTATTTTATATTCTCTACTCATTTTCACATATAAAATAATCTTCTAACAATAATACAGTAATATAATAATATTAATATAAACAGTATCCAATCGAAAATCAAGTTAAATTTTCGATTAGTTTTTAAATTCAAATTTTTCAAAAACTTCAAATGAAAAAAATTTTTTTTTTCGATTTATATTTACATATAGAGTTATTTCCAGTTATCAAACGTTCTATAATACGTATATATATTAAAAAGATTATAGATACCATCGCAAATCATAGTGTCCATAGAATTGAATCCTTGTTCAGGCAAATCTATCGGCTCCTCCTCAGAAATCCGTAATCGTTTTTTTTGCGAGACACCTGGTTTTTCCTTAAGAACTTCACTCTGACTGCTATCCTCCTCTGTATTGTATTCGTCGCTATCCGCGTCAACTTTAATTTCGTTCACCGTAGTCACTTCCGGCGTGGCGGCCGTCAGCTTGTTCAGAATTGCCTGCAAACTCGTCAAATTTTCTGGACTTCTCCGACCGTTTTCGTCCGAACGATCCTTGTCTCCGTCGTTTTTTCTCGTTTTTTCCATCAATTTCCATACTTCGATGGAAAGATCTGATGGGCGACATTTGGCCGCCTCTTCCGGCCCCAAGGTTTTCATCTAATTTGTAATCGGTACTCGTGTTATTTTTGTGTAAAATGTAAAATCATAAAACTTGTGATGCTTTTTTTATACGTTTCATATAGGAAAAGGAAGAAAATGTTTATATTTTTTTTTTAAATGTTTGCGTGTTATAGGTTAATGCGTTTTTTAAATAAGAAATAAAGAATTTGGTGTTTTCTCCTCGTATACTTTAATTTTTAATTAAAAATAATTTGGGTGTAGATTAAAATGATTTTTTAATATTTATGTACAAAATATATATACATATATATATATATATATATTTGTATGAAAATGATAAAGTTTTTGCTTTATTTTTCTATTTTTTGAAAGTGATATATGTATGACAAAATTTTAACAGAAAATATAAGATTTTGTATTGTTCTTTATAGAATAATTTTATTTTGGTAAGAACATCTAAAAAATATTGTTCTTATTGATTAAATATATTAATATCTCTTTTGTATAAAAAAGGAAGATAATTTAAATAAATTTTATTGAAGGAAAAGTTCGTTCGTTATCGATTCTATAATTTGGAAATTTGTAAAACAATATTTTTATTTTGTTATTCCAATAAATATGGTTTTAATAATTGGATATTCACGTAGGTATTAAAAATTACACGAATTAAAATATGTTAATAAATGTGTATTTATAAATGTTTAAAATAATAGCATCGTATGATCAAAATTAAAATATGTAATCATTAATATACAAATACATATGTATAATACATATTAAAAATAATTATTTCAAATATATATATGTGTTTATGCATTTATATTTAAATAAACGTGAAATAATATTATTTGCTAAAAGTCACATACACATTATTTGTTTACTGTAATAAGAACATGACAAAAAAATCACAATTCTAAAGAAATAAAAAAAAAAAGAGTTTTAATATTTAAAGCTATTTTAATCTTATAAGAAGATCCTATTAAAATTATATTTAGATTTAAAATCTAATTTATGAAATTTCATCAACCTTAAATAAAGATATAAAAAAATAATAATTTTTCAACAACAAATTATTTCTTCATATAAATTATTTTAATAGAATAATTAAAATAAGTTGATCCTATCATTATCATTATTGTATTTATTATTAAAAAAAAATCCATTTTAAAAAGATCAAAACATACAACGTTTAAAACTATCACTTAAAAACTTTTTCTCTAATCAAAAAGAAAGGTTCTTGAAGACACGCTCATTCATTTTTCAAACATTCGATCAATCATTATTGTTTCTAAAACCGCGTTTACATTAGGCAACTTTTGATCGAACATTGAATTGATCAAGTTCATAGTAACATAATATTAACGACTTTTGATTGTTCAATGAAAATAGTTCAGAATTATTTAAAAATTTAACTTTTTCACGAATTTTAATAACTTCGAAATGTTTTGTTAAAATCATCATTTATATAATTTCTTTCTATGTTTATTTATATATATTTAATATCATTTAACTTTAATTTCCAAGAAACTATTTAAAAAAAAACATTTAATTTAAATTTATAATTGATAATATATATCATATTCTGCTTTTTATGATAAATATATTATTATTTATATTTGATATATTGATAGATATACTTATAACTTAAGATAGACATATCAAAAATTTTAAATCATGTATTTTAACATTAGATAAAAAAATAAATAGAAAATTAAAAAATTTAATAATTAAATTGAATCATATAAATTTCTAAATGTATGTAATAATTATAATAAGTTGATACAGTTTCAATCGAATTAAAAGTAATTTATATTACAATGAATTATATAAAATGTAATAAATCAATAAAATTTAATCTTATATAACCTAATCTAACATTAACTTTTCTCCTTTATTGTTTAGATTATTATTAGGCGACAACATCAGAAAGAATGTATTTGTAATTTAAATTTGATAATACTTTTTTTATGAAAATATCTGAAATTAAAGTAGGAATATATATAGCAAAAAGTTTTTCAAAATCACAACTTTGATAATATATTTCAAAGTCATTGAAATCAATAAGCAGGCTAAACTCTTATAGTGGATGTCCTTTTTATAATCGTAGCATTAAGGCATATATTCAACGAACAGTTTATAAATATTGTTTGCTGGCTAGTTCGCTGCATATTGTTTATTATTCGCAAAAATATTCATGAACATAGTTTGTAAACTATTACAATTGTATCTCACAAGAACAACAGTGTAAATATTGTAAAACATAGATATAATTTATAGTTTATACGCATTTGTCTTATAATGCTATAATGAACGTTTAAACTTTCTTTTTTTTTTGACGTTTGTGTAAAATTGTGAAAATAATTCGTCTATTTTCGATCAATTTAATTCACGTTAGAATAGTTTACATATAGTAATAAAAACAAACTAACCTTCAGTCAAAGCTTCAATGCTTATATTTTTCACGCACTGAATAATAACACAAATACACAATATTATCGACAGATTAGAACTTAACCTTTCGTGTTTACATTTTGGATCGTTGCTTTTCCATCACATGCTCTATATATATATATATATTTAAACAATACGATTCGTCGAAGATCAATTAGTGATCAACCTTGGATAAGTTGTCTAATGTAAATACGGCTTTTATTTACTTTTAGTTAATTGATTTAATCGATCACAAATTGCTTAATATAAACGCTAATCGATGGAAATGCAACAATTGATTAACCTTTTCCGCAAAAGTATACATCTCCATCCTCGCCTGCGACTTCATTCTTCTCCATTGTTCTCTCATTCTGGTGATATCCCTGTCTGTGGAGAATATTCCGCGAAAGGCACGATGAATCTGTTGCCAGGCTAACATTTTCATCGCGGACGCGGCCGCGTCGATTTTTTTGTTTTCGATTGCATTCACGTGTCCCTTGATTAACGAGAATAAGGCGTTTTTCTCCTCAGGGATCCAGTTTTGTGTCCTTTCGCGTTTTTTCAGTAGCACAGTTGTCGAATTCGAACACATTTTCGATTCTTTTTTCGTTTTAATTATTCGTTTGATTGGAATTTTTTTTTTTTTTTTTTGATAATATTATTAGTGCGATACGCATATAATTTTTACGAATAGTTTAGTAGTAATTTCGACTTAACTACACGACAAAACATGCGCACGACTGTCAACTGTTCACGACGCGATTAGATGATGTTTCTCGCGCGTTTACTTGTTTAAGCTCTGGTTTAGCACAGTCGAGTGTTTAACGTCGACACGAATACGCGTACAGCTTGATTGGAAAGTTTGCGACACTGTACATTTCTTCATCTTTTTAGAGATTTTTTAAATAATGATTCGAACATAATCTTAATTTTGTTGATTGAATCGTTCGATTTGAAAATTGGAATAGTATTTCCAAAAGTCAAAAAAAAAAATAATTTTTATTAAATCAATCTTCTTTCTTTATCAAAATTAATTAAAATATTAAAATTAACAATAATAAAATTATTGTTAAAAATTTCTTTTATTATAAATAAACAGAAAATATTTAATTATTATGATTAATTTTTTTTTTAAATGGCTTATGAAGGAAGAAAATATTTTATAATATTTAAATATTGAATATTTTAAATTAATAATATGAAAGAAATGGCACAAGATATATTTATATATAAATTTATTTCTTGTAATTAAAATCAATATTGAATAAAAATATTATCTGTAATATTAAATATTGAATGATTAATTGATAAAAATGAGTTAAATCACAATTTGTTTATTTCTCTTTTCTTGAATAAATTTGTTAAATTATTTATTAAGAGATGAAAATTTTTGTTATTAACTTCATCAACATAATATATTATAAAAATTATTAACAAATAATCATATATATTATTAATTTCTAATCAAATTTTTTTCCTTTTAAATAAGATATTTTATATTTATCGTGATAAAATCTAATCGCAGAAATTAATTAAAAACTTATAATGTATGACTATCTACAAAATATCTATACAATGTAGAAGTAGAATATTTGCAATGTTGTTACAGTTTTCAAATCTTATCTTACTTATCACTCTCATACTTTACCAATATATCATTTTACCGACATTAATGGCCTAGAACAATTATTAATTCTTACTTTTTAAATCAAAATAATTATAATTATAATAATTAACTCTAACATTTTCTTTTTATAAAAACAGAAAATTATATATCTACTTAAAATTATATATCTACAACAAGTTAATAAACGATTTTTAATCTCGAACAAAATATGCGATACCTATTCTTCATCGATTCAAAAAATTTTGAAATATATTAAAAAAAAATCAAATTTTAAATTCATTAACTCCTATTACATTCCTAAAATAATTATATATATTAATCCCAAAAATTTTCGAAATTATATTTTACAATAATAATTGACGATCTTATTAGCAATCAAAACATATATATAAGGATAAATCTAATAAATTAATAAGTCATATTTTTTAAATTTTCAGTATAATAATTTTGAAGTTTATTCTGTTACGAAAAATTATAATATTTTTAAAAAATATAATCTGATCAGTATCAATCTAATTAATATTTGTTAAACATTTAATAAATTTATAAATTTTTATTGTTTTCGAAAACAAAGATCGTGAAAAAATTTTATTTTTTTTTCTTCGATTTATTTTTGCATGAAATTATCATTTATCAATTATAGCACAATTTTTGAAACGCTTTGTACAGATAATTCTACAATTTTTATTCTAAAATCGATCTTAATTTTAAAGTTAATGGAACGAAATTAAAAATGAATGCAAAAATTTAACAAATAATCGAAACTTTTACATATAGAATCACCACGATTTTTGCAACATCCTATATGTATAATTCTTTCTTATTCTAAATTCTGTCTTTAATTTTTAAATTAATGGAATGAAATATTGAAAACGAGTGTAAAGAATTTAACAAATAATTGAAATTTTTGCATATAAAATCACCACGATTTTTGGAACACCCTATATATACATAATTCTTTCTTAATTCCTAAATTTTGCCTTTATTAATTTTAAAGTTAGTGGAACGAAACTAACCCTTTGCAAAGGGTTAATAAATGATCGAAACTTTTCAGAAATTAAATTAAATTAAATTAAAGCCTTTCATCGAAACTTTTGCATATAATAAGTAATCTACTGTTAATATACACGTCGCGGATCAACGTTTGGTTAAATCGGAATTAAGGGTGGACTAAACGTCGGCCATTTTGACATGGCACTAGCTAGGCGCTCGATATTAACAAATCTTCGATTCCCAGCCGGAGAGAAAGAGGCAGCGAGAGAGACTGAGAAGAGACGAAAGGGCAAGGGAAACAGGATTGTCAAAGGGAGAGAGAGGGTGATTCAACGTTCCGCGCAACGCAAACATTGTTTCGTTTCATTTCGCAATCCGTCGTGGAATCATATTGCGCCGATTCCAATATTTCCATCGTTTTACTGCGATTGCGGACAATCTCACGCCGATTCCACGCTAAGTTATCCATCTTTCGTTTTTCGTTGGAAGGATCGTTGATTCGATCGATCAATGATGATTATTATACTGCTGGATGTTTTAGATATGCAAAGATATACATAGAAAAATATTCGAAGTATAGTATGTGTTATGATATTTGACTAATAAAGCAGATAGAATCGATGTAAGATTCATTTAAAAAAAATGCAAATATAATTAAGGAAATTATTCTTCTTAAAATAAATATGTATGTGTATGTGTGTAATGGATATGTCGATAAACAATTTATCAAATTTTTAACAAGATAACATTATTTAAATGGTAGATGTTTATAGATAGTTTTTCATATTTGAGAGTAACTTAATATAATTTTTAAAAAATTAGAACTTTGTGACATAATAGATAAAATAATAATAAAACAGAAAAATAATTTAATGAAATTATAATTAAATCATAAATTATATTGAATTTCATCGAATTTTTTTAAATATTAATGATTCAATTATAATTAGATTACATTTATCGTAATCTTAAATAAGTTTATAATAAAAACGAAGATTTATAGAGCATGAAAATATATAATTTGATATGTATAATTATATATTTAACAAAGCGATGTTATATTTTATTTATTTTTATTCATAGATCCGATATATTGTTGTTTACATATTTTTCATGTAAAAAGAAAAATTTATAGAAATTTTACTAAAATTTTATTGACCAAAATTGATTTCATATTTAATTTGCAAAAATCCAATTATTTATCTACTCGAATATTAAAAATCAATTTGATCAACTATAATCATATTGGTCAAATTGAAATATATGTAATCTTAGAAACTTTTTAATTTATAATTTAAATTAATCTTGCTTTTAATTATTATAATTTATTTAAATTATTTATTATAATTTATTTATTTTTTTTTATTTAAATTGTAATTACTTAAACTATTTTCTTAAAATAAAAAAGTTTATGGAAATATGTAATTAATTTTTTGAAAAATTTAAACAATCATATAAATATCTGAAATTAAGTAAACTAGATATAAATTTTTTTTTCAATTTTAAAAAGATTCATTTATTCTTTGCTTTTTCAAATAAAAACTTTCTAAAACGATTTAATCAAAAATAAAATAAATAAAAATGGTCATACATGTAAATGTTTGGCTTCACAAACGATTCATTTCATATTTATCATTCGATTATTTACTTTGACCAAACAATAGTAATGAAAAATATTTTATACAAATTATTGCTATAAAGAAAGAATAATTATAAAGAAGTATTAAATTTAATAACTATAATATTGAAAAGAAAATGTGGATAGATAAAAAAAAATAATATCGAACTAAAATCTAATTTAATTTTAACTTAAACTTATTTCAAATACAATTTAAATCGAACTTAAATCTATTTAATCTAAACCTAATCCGAAAATCCAAACACAATCTAAACCTAATGTAAAACTATCTAACTTATACCTATCATAAACTTGTTCCAACCACAATCCAAATCTAAACCTAACCTAAATCTACTTCAAACGTTATAGGTGCAATTTCTAAACCTAACTCAAATCTATTCCAAACCTTTTATCAACATCTTGCTTCAAAAATATTTTTTATATACAATTTTATATATATGTATATATATATATATATATATATATATATATAAAATATTCTTTATTATAACAACAGACACATTTATAATCATAAAAAATTGTTTAAAGTAATAAACCTTCATTAATAAATAATTATCTTTAATTTCTAAAAGAAAAAAACAATTAAAATTTAACTTCCAACATTTTTGTACCAAAATTACCATTATGTACAAGAAGATCATTAACCATTACAACTGAATACACCCCATCTGAAGTAGCTTTAGCATTTCTATCCGCCAATCCGCTAAGAAATACGACTTCTTGTAGCATAATCCTTTCACTGTTTCCACCAACGAGTTCGTTGTATCATAGTCGTTGTATAACGGTCTTCCGTTCCATATAAGACACACAATCGCTTATTCTTTCACAAAACCACTTGCGATGGTGTCGCGAGCAAAGCTCCACTCTGGTTACTACAACTTGATTAGTCTCTGGTTTTAATTCCTGCACTTCATTCAACCGATACGCCATAATAAAAACTTGTAATAAAAACTGTAGAAACCTGTATTATCGGTTAGTTCAGTGTTTCGTGAAAATTATTCTATTTAAAATTAATTGTAATGATAAAAGTGATAATTAATTTTAATGAGAATACTATATTTTAATGATATTTTTTAATTATTCGTCGATAATATAGATAATTACTTAATAATCACTTATATTTTATTATACAAGATGTTACATAATGGCAATTGCGTGTTGTTTGATGGATCTTCGAGGTATTTTTAAATTGGTAAAAATTAATTGTAGTAGATCTTATTTATGTATTTATTTTCAATTATTTATAAACAGTTTGTCGAGTACATAATTTGTTGTTTGTTGGTGATTTGTGAATAAATTAAGATAATTAGAAATATTGTAGAACTCTTTATTATAGTGATTCTGCAGGATGATTTTCTACGACACGATTAGAGTAAGTGAATATAATATTTGCTTTAATTATAATATAATGTTTTGATTATGTTCAAAAAGATTTTATTAATTGATTATTTTGGAAAAAATGAAATGTAGAAGAATTAATAAAAAAAATTTTTAAATGAATTTATATAACAATGAGAATGAAGAATAATTTATTTGTTCAAAATATTTATTAATAATTTGTCCATAATGATATATGAATTTATAAGAAATTTTATTCTTATAAATTTTTATAAGAAAATATTTTGATTATGAAATATTTCATAGTATTGAAAGATATAGAGATATCATTATAGACCGTAATAATTATTGGAAATTTAAGAAATTTATATTTTACATAAAAATAAATTGAAAATGAAAATAATAAAATTTTCTGATATATATAAAATTTTTTAAAAATTTGTAAAAAATTTTAATACGATAATATGATTTTTTTATAAAATTAAGGCAAAAGAAATATAATAAATAAAATATCATAAATTATAACTTAATTATGATTAAATCTTATATATTTGTTCTTATAAAATATTAATATTATATTCATGAATACCTTTGAAAGGATTGATTTTAGAGATTAAAACATAAACATAAAATGGTATACAAATACATATCACTTCAAGTTTATTTATTAAATTACGAGCAAATGAAGTTTATGTTAGATGGAGCTGTTTCACTCTATCTCCATCACTCTTTGTCTAAACTTTATTTCTTTATAACTTAATAAATATATCTCAATTCACATTTTTGTATCCCAACTTTTGCATTTGATAGAATTAATCTTCTATCTTCATAAGATATCCTGCGAATATATTAATATTGTATGTATAGTCTATCTTATCAATGTGAACTTAAAAAGAATAAGATAAAATATTTAATCAAGACAAATGTGCATCAAAGTGTAACAAAGTACTTAAGTATAGGCACACTTATTTTCAAGATTAATTATATACGAAATTTTCTATTTTAATTACCAAATAAAAAAATTAAATATCTTTTGATGTTTTCAATAAAACTTTTTTAATTCTCTTTTTTTTTTTATATTGTTCATGCATACTTCATTCGAATTATTGTGAATGATTTTTCAAAATTTCACTAAATTTTCATAAATATTTATTTTATATAATATTGTATTTACATTACATATTATATATTTATATTAATATATTATATATTATATAATATTTAATGATATTTCTTATATTTTATATTTTACACATATTGCATAATATTTTTTTCCTAGATGAAAATTGTAAAGATATAAATTTACAATAAAAATTTAAATTTTTTTAAATTTCCAACAAAGTGTTAAAATATTATTTATTTTATAATTTATAAAGATATTTATTTTACGACTTTAGATAGATATCAATGATATTTGTATTATTATTATTAGGAAAATATTCTCATTTTTCATAGGGATATTCTTCTCGTGTACGTGATTAATTTTTTCTTTTTAAAAGTTTTGCGGTTTGATAAATACATGCATGCAAGTTAAATATGATACATTTGCTTCATAGAATTCTTCATATTTTATTCTTATATTTCTTCATATTTTCTTCATATTTTTATTATCTTCTATATATTTTGATTCATATATATATATAACGAATATAAAGTAAGTTTCTTTTAAAAATAAAATCTTTATTTATCAAAAAATTTATTTATATTCGAATTTTTAAATCTTAGGAAAAATAAATAATATAATTAAATATTAAAAAATAAAGATATGTGCAAATATCTTCTTTTAATTATTACATATATATGTTTCTATTAAGAATTTAATAAAATTTGAGTTTTGAAATTTTCACTTTGAAAAAAAATTTACATATTTGTTATTTATATTTTTCTCGAATAAATAAATTTAATAACTGAATAATAAATACAGTCAATATTTTTATAATACGAATATGATGTGATTAATAATCTCAGATATACCAGATAAACGATCGTGTAGCAATCACTTTTTATTACATTTACTTTTTAATCTGTATTAATTTAGATTTCACTTAATCACTCGATTTCGATACAATGGATAAAATAGAATTATAAGATAATTGATTGCATTATGTATTTCCTTTTAGTGAAACAAATCTTATGAAATTTAATGTCATTATATTTTTTTTACAAAAATATTGCAAAAAGAAAACAATAATAAAATATTTATTATAAATAATTAGTAATAAAAGAAAATTTTTATTTTATTTATAAAAGGAATTTAATTTTAAAAAGTTGATAAAATAGATATAAATATATTAATCTATAAAAAAATTTAATTAAAAGATAATACTTACATAAACAGCTTTATATTTATTGATTCACAAGACGGACTTGTGTTTTATATAATCGAACCTGATCTCATGTTAATGAGACGTTATGGAAGGGTTGCTCATTACAATAAACATTCTTGAATAATTACAAAAATCTTTTATGAATCTATTTAAATTTTTCTTTTTTTTCCTTCTTTTTATTTTAATTTTTTGCGTTTCATAATAGTGATTCAATTCTGAATAATTACGATTGGTGATTTTAAATACATTTACGTTTTATCCATTCTCTAAACACGAGAATCACATTGGAAACTCGATGGACGTTACATCGATTTCGTTTTTACTTTTGTCCATCTGTTTTTTGAAAATTTTCTGAATGATGCGTCATGAGTTTTCAGATTTTAAATTTTAGATTTTCAATTTTATACAGTTTATGTTACGAATATTGGAAAATTAGTTGTGTAATGAAAAATTTTTTTTCTATTTAAGTAGAAGAAAAATTATAAATTATATTTTTAAAATAGATTTCATGAAATTATTTACTGGAAAAAAAATTATAAAATAAATTTTATTAATATAGAAGATTATTTATTTATTTATTTCCTTTATAATGAAATTATTTAAATTTAATTTTGATGATTGAAAAAGAAAAGAAAAAGAAATAAATATCTCTAATTATAAATTATATCAAATTTTTTCAGATGAAGCAGCAAGTGAAATATCCTTCTTTATCTTTAAATGTACCAAATGATTTGTGTTTGACTTGGAAAAACATTTCTTACACGGTCGAAAGAAAAACCAATGGCGGCAGTCTTCGAGCGATTTTCGGTTTTCAATACAGTGAACTTATTCAACTACTCCATGGAGGTATATTTTATATTAGAAAAACTAAAGAAATAATATATAATTAGATAATATTTTAATCAAATATAGATAGATTAAATCAGGTATATATATATATATATATATATATATATATATTATTATAAAAGATTAATTCTTTGATATGCTTTCAGTCAGTGGTATAGTTAATTCTGGAATGTTGATGGCAATTATGGGACCAAGGTAATCATTGAGAATTTTTCTCTAACTCTGGAATACTAAATTCGAATCGTGAATCATTATTATTCAAAATTTTCAATATATATAAATAATATTAATAATTAGTTATATAATAGTTAATATAATTTTTTTTAATAATTTTGCAATGAGATTTAACAATGTTCTAATCTAATAAAAATAATTTTCTTATAAAATTTATAGATTATCATTTATGGATTACAAAATTTTTTTACTTAAAAATCTTTTGATTTTAAAAATTATTCCACTTTACCATATAATACTTTACTTAATTAATTATAGATAATCATTAAAATTAAAAATCAATTTTTAATTCATTTTCTCAACTTAGAATATATTAATTTTAATAATACTTTAATTTAAAAAAAAATATTCTTTCTCTAAAGTTTTCAGATTTCATAAATTATTGAATATTAAAAAATTTTCTAAAAATCATCTGATTTTAAAAATTCCTTCGCTTCTATTATAAATTATATATCATATATGACACGGTATAGTAAATAGTAGATATTAAAGATATTCCATTTTATTCAATAAAATATGTTTTTCCATATTCCAATATAATAAATATAATTTTTTTTATAGAATTTAAAATTTTTAATCGTTATTTGAAGACTATAAAATTTATTTAAAATTAATTAAATTAAAATTAATTAATTAATTAAATTAATTATTAATTTAAAAAAAAACTTCAAACCATAGCACACCAAATTCATTTCACATTATCCAATGAAACTTTCTTCTATATTCAACCATTCAAAACGATCTGCTCATTCATGCAGAATATTCTATATAACACGTTAAAATGTGAAACGTTATAAAAAAACATTTTTTTCACCGCCCCTTGAATTCAGTCAGTAAAACAAATTTATTAGATCATTAAAATTTCAATTGGAGCGTTATTAACAAAAGCTTCACATGTAAGATTTACACATCTCGAGAAGTTGTTAACGCTTAACGTTTTCTGGATTAAGATTTTAACGTCTCTCTCTCTCTCTCTCTCTCTCTCTCTCTCTCTCTCTCTCTTTCACACACACACACACACACATACACGCACGCACGCACACACACTACTCCTTAACCGAGGGAACAGTTTGCTGATGCGTTTAATATTACAGTGTGCTTAAAAAGAGGGTGGAGAGTAGAGCAAGGGGAAATAAAATTGGATGTGCCGAGCGTGGCTCGCGAAAATTGCGAGTGCTTAGTATTCCAGGGTTAATTGTTTCCAACAAGAGGGTTGAAAGTTTTTCTTTCATTCAGAGGAACTTCTCGATTTGCAGCGGTGCTGGAAAAACTACCCTTCTTGCGACTATTAGCAGACGTGTCAAAGGTTCATAAAATAATTTATTTATTTTATTAGCTTGTATCTCTCTGTATAAGATTTTGAAGTTTTAATTCTTTATTTTTTTCTTTTTAAACAATAGGTTTTTAGCAATATTTTTTTTTGATTTTCTTAATTTTTATTTTTATTATATTATGTTGTATACATTATATTATATCATGTATAATTTTTTTTTTCTCTTAACTTCTCTTCTTATTTGATATTAAAATGAATTTGAGAAATGATAATTCAATTCAATATATTCCAAATATATTTCAAATTTCTTCATTCAAAATTATTTTTATATAAATAATAATATAAATAATAATAATTTTTAATTTTTTGGTTTGGTGATTCTTTTGCTTTTTAATTTTTAATTTATGAATTATTATTATTGAAGATATCATTCTTTTAATTCATTATTAGAAATCATTATTAGCAAAAAAGAATATTAATAATGTATTAATAAAATTAATGAATTAGTTATTTTACTAATTTTAAATGACTTTGTTTCATCCTATCTTAATTAAATAATACATATATTATATTTTATTTGTTTATATATTTATTCTTAAAAAAATTTGACAAATTTATTTTTACATTTAAAAAATTATCTCTTTTATATAATTTTACAAATTACAAGGATATTACTCAAAAAAATTAAGTTCAATAAAACATTTTTCTTTTACTTTTTAAAATTTCAATTTTAATATAAAACAAGATAATGTAATAAACATAATTTTATAAAATTAGAAAAATAGGAAATTTTCTTTATCCTTTCTCAATTTTTCTAATCAAAACAAAGAGATTTTTGATCGATATGTTTTCAATAGGCAAAGCGACAGGTGACGTCTTGTTAAATGGAAAGCCTATCGATACCGAGCAGATGATAAGGATATCTGGATTCGTTCCACAAACGGACTTGGCAATCGAATCGCTGACAATCCAAGAGCATATGGAATTCATGGTTTGTCCAATTACAATAGTCTAATTAATTTTACAATGACTCTTGAGTCTTTTCCAATCACATTCTTTTAAGAAATTTTCTGGTTCTCAGAATGATATGAAAATATTCTTTTTGATATGAATTTTTCAGCTTTTATTATAAACAGATAAAAATAATAATTGATCCATTAATACAAGTAGGACTGGAATTATCCAAATATGCAGATAATAGTGTCATAAACTTATTTATTATTATTAGATTATATAATAAATGATCAGACGATAGAAAAATAGAAAAATTAAAAAATTCTTATTTTAAATTATATATTCCCATTTATAATTGGAATTATTTCAATTAAATAAAGATATAGAGGTGTCGAAAGTGTTTCTTTGATAAGTAATAATTGATTTCACGACCGACAGAAGTCCGTAAATTCAGTCCCTTCGTCCATTAATCACATTCATTTTAATGGACGATAGAATCTCGTGAAACATGATCGAATCGTGAATAACCGGTAACTGGTCAAAGTTTATGGGACGGCTCACGATACAGCGGATCGAATAATCAATTTCGATAAACTCGTATCGATCACCAGTTAGCGATTTTAAATAATTGCCTCTTATTCGAGATCGATAAAGTGATTTATATCGCGTAGAGTATAATATCCTGATTCGTTACACGTATAATAGAATGAAATTGCGTAACTATGACAGATCGAGATCCCTATAATTGAATTTAATGAAAAAGAGATTTCTTTGTTGAAGATATCGTGCTCTTCGTTTATTGAATATTCGATTGAAAAAGAATTCATAGATCATTACTTGGTATTGCAAGGAGAAAAGTGTGATTTTTTTATTTTTTTATTCTTTGTGATTTTATTTTTTACAACTTTTATAATTTTTATTTTTTATGTTTTTTTTTATGTTTTAATCTTTATGTTTTTTTTTTTTTAAGGTTTGAGATTATTTATGTGCAAAAGGTCTGAAAAGTGTGAAAAATTTTTTTAAATACGTCACATTAATTAATTTCGATTATTATTTCCAATACTAAAAATTATTTATCTTTCTGTCCAAAAGTCTTCTCAATTAATTCGTCATTATTTGACATATTTGGTATATTATATTGTAAATTTAGAATTGTATTACAAAAAGTTTAATGAAATTGAATAATTTCAAAAATATTGAATACCAGTTAATACAATAAGTAATTCAATTCTTGTATTATCCAAAGATTCAAGATCAAATTTCCAGAGTAAAACTTCGTCTAAAATTCAATATTTCATCCATGGTGAAAAGTTCATTTCATGTTTCCATTGAATGAAAAATCTAAGCGAGAATTTTATGAATTTCCGTTTATAACTTTTAACTTAAAAAGCTTTATCAATGCTCAACTGACCATCAGCATCGACTAATTCGTTTAAATGTTGAATGATTGGATTTCGGGCCCATTAAAACTTGGCGATTGTTCTTGGTCGATCAAGGCGTGCATGAAAATGGACAGAAGGCTGAGGGCCAACTTCAGACGGCAACGTATAACGGTTCTGTTGAGAGAACTTGGCCTGGCAAAATGTACCTCCACAAAATTATCCGCTCTATCTGGTGGTGAGAGAAAACGTGTCACTCTGGCTGTTGAGGTAAGTTAATTATTTCTAATTGAAAAATTATAAAAAAAGAAATTAAGGGGAAAAGTTCAATTTAATTTCAAGTTTTCGAAAAATTTTAATGTTTTCAAGAATGGAAGATCAAATATAAAATTTTTTTAGGTTTTTTAGGTTTTGGAAATTGAAAGAATAACAGAAATTCTGAAAATTTCAAAATTTATTTATCTTATTATATTGTAAACCGAGAAATTTTAATTTTTAATTTTAATTTTTTTAATTTTCGAAGTCTCAAAGATAAAAAATTTTAAAGCTTGAAAATCTTAAAAAATTTCAATTGTTAAGATCTTCAAATTTTTGAAATTAAGAATTCCATCTCGATCTCAAATTCAAAAATTGAAATCATAAAAATGCAATAATAAAAACATGAAACAATTCAAAATTCCAATAACATAAAATAATATTTATCATATATTTGTCTTATCTATTAGCAATTATCTATTATTTTTTAATTATTATACATAAATTCATAAATCTCAACAATAAAATTTTCAACTTTCAAACTTTTGATTCTAAAAATCAAAACAAACATAAAATACACAAAAATATTGTACACAAAACTTACATATTAAATTATGCAATTGAAATTTATTTTAGATAAAACAAGACAGAAGTCATTCTTCGCTTTGCTTTATTTAACGTAAACTTCAATTATTTATAACTTAATAAATAAACTTGAATCGATATTTTTATATACTAAATTATATTTTTATGTTTTGGCCTTTAGAGTCGATTTTATTATATCAATTGTATACATATACATTAATCAATATCTTATAGGACGAAAAATGTGTTAGGAGACTCACGTTTAATATTGGCTCACAAAAATTCCTTAATATGAAATACACATAGAATAGAGAATTTTTCTAGCTACTCACCGAGCCGAGCATTCTCTTTTGCGACGAGCCAACTACCGGATTGGACAGCTATGGTGCTATGACTGTGGTGAGGACGCTCAGGGAAGTGGCGGCCAGCGGAAGGATAGTCATTTGCTCGTTGCATCAACCTGCTTCCGGTTTATTGGAGATATTCCACGAGGTTTTACTACTCTCTAGTGGTAGAGTTGCCTTCCAAGGTTCCTCTATAGATGCTACGGAATTTTTCGATAGGTTCAATTGTAATATTTATTGTATCTGTTATTTAAATTAATTATCATTCTAAATTCATTGTTATATTATTGTTTTATTTAGTATTTGGCATAAAAATTTAAAATGGATTGAAACAAATATTAGGAGATTGAATATTTGAAATAAATTATTTGTGCAGTTATTTGATATTTAAACTTGCATTCGGTGTTAATTTAAATTGGCATGTTATTTAGATTTTTTAAAAAAAGAATATAAAATTTATAAAGTTAATTTTTGTGATATCTGTATTCAGTTTCAGAGCTTGAGAATCTCCTTAAAATTTTAAGATTTTTATAATTTTTTCTCAAAACTCAAATCATTATTTTTAAGGAATTTAAAAATTTCATACTGTTTTATCAAAACTAACTATCTTAAACATATTTATACATGGCAAATATAATTCATAAAATATAAATATAATATTTTTCAAAATTAATTCTTAAAAATCATAAAAAATCAATTAAAAATCAATTAATTTTTCTCTAATGTAATTTCTTTTCACAATAACTTGAAGGATTAAAAATTTACAAATATTATGTAAACGAAAACAAAACAATGATCTCAAAATTAGAAATTATATATTATTTTTATAATATTATTTTTATAATATTATTTTTTAAATAATTTATTTTAATTAATTTTTTTATTTTATTAATTTTTTTTTACTATTATTATTAATTTACTAACTATTTTTTTTATTCAACAATTAATTTAAACATAATCTTATATAATTTACAGTTTGAATCTTCCTTGTCCTCCAACTTTCAATAGTGCCGAATTCTACGTTTCTCAGCTATCCATTATTCGTGACAAAGAGGCTGAGAGTTATAGAAAGGTATTCGAAACAAAAATTGATAAAATCAAAAAATTCACAGCTTGTTCCAATTTATGAATATTTATCCTCATTTAAGTAATAAAATTATTCACTTTATGCTATATTAAAAAATTATATGTATCTAATTCATATAATAATAACTAATCTATCTTTAACATGATATTTTTTGGTTGATAAATTATAGCAATTCTCTTATAACACAGTTTATATAAAGTTTAATAATATATATTGTTTAAAAATTGTAATTTCTTTTTTTTCTTTTTCTTTAAGTTTATATTTTAAAAATATCATTTCTGATACGAAAGATCATTTTTGGTAATACAATTTAACATATAAATTTTCTAAAATTATATTCCTATGTAATTTCTATGTTATAGAAAGATTATTTATATAAGATATATCTTTAATTTAATTATAATTAAGCAATACTGAAATCGACAAAAAAATCAGCTTATGAAATTTCGTGAAGTAAATTCTTCTTCTTGGTATCTATTTAAATTTTAGTTAAAAATAAGAATTATTTCGGCTGCGGTCAAATAGAAAGTGAAATTAAGATGAACATGTGCAGGTAAATTGGATCTGCGATCAATACGAGAAATCTAAATACGGTTTGAGGGTGTCGAAATTGATCGAATACTTTTGCGTCACGGAGTCCATGAAGCTGCCTTCCATATTTTCAGACGTCTCTTTATCTCTGAAAAATTTCAAAAAAGCTCGGCTTCTGACGCAATTGCACTGGCTCGTATGGCGTATCTATCTCGACTACAAGAGGAATTACACGACTCTTTTCTTGCGATTCATAACGTACATGGTAAGTTGTCGTTAGCTCTGCTTCCCTTTTGACCAACGTTAAGTCGTCTGATCCCCTTCCGGTTGCTCCTCCGCTTTTGTGCTTTAATTGTTCCTCCATCATAATCTCGGCCATTGTTGCAGAAGCTTGTGCTAAATTAAATATTAAATTGAAGGAAAAATTAATTTCTTGAGGGATGAACATATAATTAAAGTAGAAAATGTAATATAATACAATAATATATATAAGAATAAGATAATTATTATTTAGGTAATTTTATTGTATGTAATTAATAAAATTAACGATTTTTATTTTATTACTTAAAAAAAGAAATGAATCGAATATATTTAAATCCAAATCTCTCTGATCTAAATTATTATTTATGATGAATTTTGGATTATGTGAATTGAATTTTAATTTATTTTTATGAAATTATAAAAAATTTATTTTCAATTAAATTATTTTCAATTAAAAATTTAAACAGAAAAGATAAATGTATAAGTGCCAATACTTTTTAAAATCCATATTATTTATCCTTAAAGTTATAAAGTTATGGTAAATTTTGGAGAAAATAATTTTTTTTCTTATGAATTTTGATGATATAAAATTTTATACGTATTTATCAAATTTAATAAAAATATTTCCATTTCAATTTTTTTTTATTTATTATTATAGATTATTAATCTATTGTTCAGATAGAAGTTTTATGATTTATTATAGGTTATTCTACTTAATTGATCTACTAATTTCAAATTTTTAACAAATAATTTGAATACTTTTATAGATTATATTTATAATCCTTAAATTCCAAATTGAATCATTTACTAAATTATTTTAATTCTAATAAAATCCAATATCTACAGATTGAATTATATAATGTTCTAGTTGAATATATACATATATTCTATTTTGAAAATAGAAGAAGACCGAAACTTGTATCATTTCCTTTTGAAAAATAAATTTCTATAAAAGACTTTCCAATATTATTTGAAAAATAAAAGAAGTATAAAATTTCAAATATTCCAATATATTTTGAAAAATGATAGATATTTTTAACTAAAAAGCATTTTTAACTAAAAAGCAAAATAGATAGATATTGTCTCTTTAATTTGTATGAATTTCTTTTAATTTTTCCCAATTTCATCCATCTCTAAATTTTCATTAAAATTGACAAACGGCTTTTTAAAGTGTATAGGAGTGCTGATAGGGTTACCCTTTATGAACATCTCGAGACAAGCAATGAATCAAGACACTATACAGAATATGCAAGGTCTTTTGTACTTGGTGGTCGTCGAGACAGTGTTCACCTTCAATTATGCCGTTTTCTATACATTTCCAAGGGAATTGCCACTTTTATTACGCGACATCGCTAGTGGACTCTATGGTCCAGCGCCATATTACATCAGCAAGGTTATCGTTTTGGTGAGATATATTTGATAAATGTTCGATTATCAATAAATATTAATCTTTATATCAAGATATTTTTACCATTTATTTTTTCCAAGATATATTATTTAAACAAATAATTTACTTTTTATATATGAAAATAGCAAATCAGTAAATAAGAATCTTATTCAAGTTATTTTTCGAAAATTTTTTTGAAAACGATTTATACATTTAATTTAAAATATTTTTTAATATTAAAATTTTCATTTGATGAATCAATTAAATCATTATGTTAATGGTATATATAAATAATAAAAAATATAAAAAAATATAAATATAAAAATATAAAATAATAAAAAATATAAAAATATAAAAATTCTTTTATATCGTTATTTAGCATATTTTGGTATTTTTAAGAATCTTAATAATATTGATTTTAGTTACACTGATTGATTTCCATTTGTTTCTTTAAATATATTTCTTCATTATTTATAATTTTTCTTTTATATTCTTCTATTTTATTTTTATATTTTATATTTAAATAAAAGCAACGCGTATATTGTATTAATTGAAAAATAAATTTTTGAATTAGAGAATCGCAGAATTATAAAAATTATATTTATATTTAAAATAAGTGAACATTAAACATGACAATTATTAAATAATAAATCTATTAAAAAATATAGATAAAAATATTCATAAAATAATTATTGAAACAACAATTATAAAACTCTTTGTGTTAAGAAAAATAAATTTTCGAAGAGTAGAGAAAGAATATAATTTAATTGTACATCGTCCCTTTATGCTTTCGAGATATTATGTTGCCTCGTTGAATAGAAGTGGAATCCAATTTCCGATTTCAATGTACGGATAGTAGATTTGGTGGAAATTTTCAGATACCTGGGGCGATAATACAGCCATTGCTATATTCAGCTTTCATATTCGCAATCACGGGGCTGAAGGGTGGACTTTTAGGATTCGTTTACTTCGCACTGCCAGTTGTTGTCTGCGCCATTTCAGCATCCGCTTTTGGTGAGCATCTACTTGCTTAGCAAAGAAGAAGAGGAAAATATGAAAAAGAAATAAATCGATTTTTATTGAAGGAAAATTAATGATAAAATTTGATAGTAATAAAAAAGAAGAAAATGATAAAATGAAAAAAAAATAAATTAATTTATTTGCCATTGTTGTATAATTAATAAATATTTAAATGTTTAAATATAATTCTAAAAATTATTTTATATTGGAAAATTAATTTTTTTATAAACTTCGTAGCTTTCGAAGTTTTTTCAAAAAATTAACAATATATAATTCAATATTTTTTATGGATCATGATCTTTACAAAATAATTTTTCGAGAGTTACAATCATTTTTATTTACGATTATTCATATAAAAAAATTTACAATAAAAATTTTAAACATTTATTTTTTTCTATATATCATATGATGATATGATATATAGTGAGAATGTATTAAATTATAAATGTTGTATATTTAACAATAAACAACAATTTAAAATATTAGAAATATTAAATAGATTTTTAAAAATAAATGTATATTTTTCTGTCTCATTTTATTAAATTTTTATATAATTATAAGAAATTATGGAATTTTATATAATTATAAAATGAAGGATTATTATAATAGCACATTTAACTATCATAAGAGTGTCATATCTCAGAAAGCGTTGGAAAATATTGTTCTAATTATATAACCAATAATATGATTGATAAGAAGATGTGATTTTTTTAAAATAGGTTTATTTTTATCAGCGTCGTTCAAATCAATGGAGACGGCATCTCTATTTTCTGTGCCATTGGATTTTCTTGGTCTGATGTTCTGCGGGATCTATTTACATTTGGGGTAAGGGAACATTTGGGGAAACAATTAAAAATTTTATCAAGAAAAATTTGACTATAAAATTTGATTATAAAAAGCAAAATTTATTTTATATATCGGATTAATCAAATTCATAATAACTTGTTCTTATGATTCATACTTAATAATTCTCAAGATATCTTCTCAAATGTCAAATTTAAAAATCTTATTATAGCTTCAATATTATCCAATGAAAGAAAAAAAAAAGATAAAATATCAAATATATTCCATTTATTATTAATTCTATTAAGAATTCATATTCTATTAAAGAATAATGAGTAATGATGGAAAAAGGAAACGTTGAAAATTTTTCCAGGAACTTGGCGCCTGGTATCGCTTGGTTAAAATACCTATCGCAATTCTATTATGGCCTCGAAGCGGTTTCCTTGACGCAATGGCTTCTGATTGATCATATAAGTACGTAATTGCTCGTTAAAATCGATTAGATTTATTATCTCTTTATTTTTCATTTTGTTATATGAATTGTTTAAGATATAAAAAATATTTACTTGATTGTAATTATTAAATTAAATTGGAGAATCGATGAAATACAAGAAGTAAAATAAAAATGTGAAAGAAGAATAAAGAATTATGAATTTTCTTTTTTAGTTTTTACGAAATAAAAATTGAAAAATAAGAAATTCTAATATAGAAAATTTTTAAGAGAAAATTATTTATTTTTATATAAGAAAATATTTAATATTTTGCTATTTAAATATAAGTTTAACTTAAAGTTTTTAATTCATCTTTTTTTTTTAGAAATAAGATAATTATATTATTGAAAATTTTGTTATAAATTTTCAATCTTTTTTAAAATTTAAATTTTAACTTCATTCATTATTTCTTTAAAATTAAAAATTTACATCATTTTCATTATGTATATATAAATATATCAAACATAAAAATTAATTATAATTGGAATATTAAAAAATATTTTTCGACACATTTTATGTTTAAGATTGTTCTTCAGATCCGGAAGAGCCGTGTATTTCTAGCGGATTAGAGGTTCTAGAGAAATATGGTTACTTACCAATTCATTACACCATGGATATAATCGGTCTTCTAGTAATTTTTTCGTTCAGCCATCTGGCAGGTTTTCTGGTAATCAGACACAGAAGTCGCAAGGAACCTGTCTATTAAATATTTTTACTCTAATTTAAGTCACCTATATTTTTAAATTTATTTTACAAAATGCACAAATTTTTATATAATTTATTTGTAAATTATATTTCTAAATTTATATAATTAACCAAAGAATGAAATAATTAAAACATCTTGCTCTCAAAATAATTGAAATGATTGCTTTCAATTTCATTTAAATTGACAATTTATAAAACATTTTTGACATAAAATATACTAAAATGTTTATAATGTACAAATAACATTGGAAATTTTAATATTTCATTATAAATTTTAATATTTTAATTATTTTAATTAAATTATTATATATTTTATTATTAATGAAAGTAATATAATAGGTGAAAGATTATGAAAGTAATATTATAATACATTTATAAATTATTTTATGTAAAATAATTGTATTATTGTTATTTATAATATTGTTTGAATTTTTCTCCTCCTTCGTAGACCGAAATATCCAATAATATTCATTGCAATTGTTAAAGTCAAGAGCCCGCTCATATCCCAAATAAGATTGTTCTCCTTGAATCCATATTCCGATAACACTTGTTTTCCATTTTTTAAACAAGGAAAGTCGCTAGATACTTGGCAGTCTATAAAAAAATTAAAAGAAAAAATTAAAATTTAAAAAATTAAAAATTATAAAATTAAAAATTAAAAATTAAAAAAAATTAGTTAAAATAAAAATAAATAAATAATTAATTTTAATAAATTCTATTCTATCTAAAAAATTATAAATAAATTACTAGATCTTCATAAAGAAAAATATAATTTTGAATAAAATATTTTTCATATTGGATTCATTTTGTGTTTCACTTTAATTTTTGATTAATTTATTTCAAAATCAGAAAAAAGTCACTAGATCTTCAAAGAAAAAATACAAATATTTTTATTGAATATATTTTAAATTTTAAAATTTTGATCAATATATGAAATCACTATATCTTTCACAATTAAACACAATTAAAATGTTAATATTTTTTGCCTTAAATAAATATGTAAAAAAAAAATCATAAATCAAAATTCAAATAAACATTGAAAACTTTGAATCGAATTAAAATTTTCTGCTCTCGAAATGGATGTAAAATTATATCAAATTATATCTTGATCTAAATATCTCGCTTCAGATAAATATCTCTGCTACAGACAATTCTCCAGCTGACATTGCGAGAGAGAATAATTTACTCAACGATGCAATGTGCTCACCGATGTCGTCTATTCGTGACCAATAAATTATGGAAAGAGCTTCGTTCAGGTAAAAGAATATCGAGAAATATTTAAAACACGTCAGATACGTAGGCAGCGACCTGAAAACATCAACGTGTCAGTTTTATAGGTCGTCGACTCGTAAAAAAAGTTACGGGCTCATTTTCGAACTGTGTACAAGCTTTTTATCGTCTGTTTAATTTTAAACATTCCAACGAAATAATTATAAATTTTTAGTAACATTTCTTCAAACTATGCTACATTTATAAAAAAAAAAAAGGAAATATTACGTTCATATTTAATTACATTCGTGTATCTATAGAAAATTTAAAGTTGCAAAAATATAATTATTTTTTTATAATCTTCAATTATCAAATGTGATACAATTGATTTGTGATCAAAAATTTATATCATTCGTTTAAAATTGTACAGAAGTTTTATATAATATATATATAATATATAATTTTATATCGCATATAAAAATAAAAATATGTAATACCTGAGATTATAAAACATCCCAGAAGTTAGTAAAAATAACATGTCAATAGGTACCATGATTGATGTAGCGACATCGATATTCTCAATCATAATGGAAAACATTAAACCATATGCTGTACCACAAATCGCAGCTGTCGATGTAATTAGACAGTAGAATAAAAAGTTCAACAAGTCTATTTGACTTATTAAAATAAAATATATAACTGTTGTAAACATAACAGCCTTCAATGTAGCTTTTGGTACCTAAAAAATCCATTTATAGGCTGTACATATATTTGTAATACGTTTTCGATTCTAGAGGTTATTATATTATTATAAACCAAATAAAGCTCGTTCATCCAAATAAAGAATGAAACGAATTTTTATCATAGCTGGAATATTGAACGTGAAATTATTGTACTATTACCAATCCGCAAAATGTGGCGACATAATAGGGCCCACAACTATAAATACCATCCTCTCGCAAATAAATCAGAAGCTGGCCAGGGAATTCGTAAATCACGGAATAGGCGACCGTGAACGAAATTTCAGAGCTCATCATGTACAAAGCGCCCCTTGCGTTTTGCACACCCTCTTGCGTCCTTGGATTAATACTCATGTAAAAAGTGGCTACAGCCGCCATGGAAAGCTACGATTAATTTAAATTATTATCTATTTCTCTTCCTTTTTATCATTTCATTTCCTTTATCATTTTTCTTTTTTCTTTTTTCCAGTGGGAAGAATATTCGGAAAAATCGCACACTGAATCACGTAATTTTGTGAAAAAGTGAACAACAATGAATTCTAGATTCTAGTTATTTTTCTGGTTATTTTTTTCGTTATTATTCGTCGAAATTTTTCTAAATATTTCCAATTTTTTTTTATTGTAATTTTAAAAGAATGAAAAATTCTAATTATTTCTAACAATTTTGTTATTGCATCTATAATTTTAAAAATCGAATATCAGTTTTTAGATTCTAATTAATTTCGGCCATTTTTTTTTTATAGTTCTTTAAATGTTTCGTATTATTTTTTTTATTTTAAAAATTTTCTTATTGCGTTTTATAATTTTAATTGAAATTTAAAGTAAATTTTAATTATTTTTGGCAATTTTATTATTGCATTCTATAATTTTAAAAAACTGAGTAAGTTTCTAAATTTTAATTATATTTTTTAAATAGTATTTATATTATATTTATTGAATTTTTCTTTTCTTTAATTGATATGAAAATATCAATCTTATCTTATAGAATATATAATCTTATAGAATATAAAATCTAGATCAATATAAACTATTAAAAATTTAATGAAATTTTTCCCTAATTAATAATTATTAACATACAAAATAGAAAAAAAATTACTGATAAATAAAACTTACGAAATAAGAAAACCATGAAATCCATCCCTCGAAGATCGTCCTTCGATTCTGAATCCATATTCTCCACATTAACCAAAAGAATTGTGTCATATATCCAGATTTTCTATAAATTATTTCCATGGCTAAATTTATTCGAAGATTAATTTTTAATATTTATATTTTTAATATTTTTAATATTCTTTCTAAAAAAAAAAAAAAAAGAAATCTTTCGTCATATCACCTCTGTGGCTCGATTTCAAAGTATCTCGTGTTTTTGATTTCAGGAATTCTCGAGAGAGAAGATCGTGAGAATGCTCGACATATCTTATCGATAAGTTCACTGGGTCCAGTGTCCTCAGGGTTGGGATTTGTCGCGTACGTTATGGGGTTTCTTCGAGATAAGAGTTTTACGTAGTATTCGGATTCGTCGAAGCCAACTGGACATTCGTAATCTAAACTATTATTTTTTCAACATTAAGAATTGTATGAAATTCTTGTAAAAATTTGAGAAATTAGAATTTAATGTCATTAATATTTCTTCAAATAATGAATAATTTGCTATTAATAATTTAAAATGTTCAGTTTTAGATGATTTATTTTGTATTTTATTTTAAAGAATAATATTTTTTTATCAATTATCATATTTATATATCATATTTATATATCAATTATCACATTATATATTTCTATGTTTAAATAAAATTTGTTTGACATTTTTTAAAATTGAAATTTTATCATAATATAGTACATATAATATTTATTTATTATGACAATATTTATAATTTTTTTAATATAAAAAATGGAAAAAATTATTTGTTAAGAAATTACTTTATGATAGGTAAATTTTCAAATGATAATTTTAAAAAGTTGTAAAAGTAATAATTTTATAATTATTACATTATAATTAAAAAATAATAATAAAGAAATTAGGTACCTTAAGAAAAATTTTGTAGCATCTTTTAAAGATCCAAAATAACCTGTTTTTCCATCAGATAACAATAAGACATGAGTAAAAATATTATATATATCCATTCCTGGTTGATGAATCGTACAAAATACTGTAGATTTCAAACTTATAACTCTCAATGCATTAACCACTTGCATTGCAGAAAATCTATCTAAGCCTGAATAAATAAATTAACATAAATCAATTAATTATATAATAAATTTTATAAAATAAAATAAAAGAAATTAATTATAATTTCATATTATACAAAAAATTAGTAGAAAAAAATTAAAAAAAAGAAAATAATAAAACCAATAAAATTAGGAGAAAGAAAAAAATAATTTTAACTTCTCAATAATAAAAAATAAACAATAAATAAATGTTACTTTAAAAAAATAAAACTATAGTATAAAATTATTTTAATATAAAAAAAATTTTCAATATTTTCTTCATTCTTTTTAAATATATTCTTTAATATCTTAAAAATTATATTTTAAAAATAGAAAATCATCATAATAATATAATTAAACATTAAAACCATTCTTAATATTATTATTTTCGCTTCAAATTAATAGTTTTTTAATATATTAAAATGAAATTAAATTAAAATCGTAAATTTAATAATAATAAAATAATATTAAAATAATTTTTTAATATTTCCAAAATAATTAAATTATATTTTCCTAGAAAAATCATTATATTATACGACGCAATTAAATATTTTACAACTTCTAATTATATAACACTATCTCTTTCGTTTCAAATTGATATTTTTTTTCATAAGTTTCATTTACCCGTGGTCGGCTCGTCGAGAAATAGTATCTTTGGCCTACTAATTATCTCGCTGGCCAAGGAAACTCGTTTCCTCTGTCCACCAGACAAATTCGATATCAACACATCTTTGCAATCGATCAGGTTCAATTCCATTAATAATTTCATCGACAAGAATTTCCTTTGTACTTTGCTAATATCCATCTTCAAAGCGCACTAAATAAATCAATTGTTTTATCGTAAATTGAGATAATTAATTGTCATTATTTTCAATTATTCAATTAATATCCGTAATTTCAAAGCAATAGATAAATTGATTTATTATATAATTAACACTACTTGTTATTTTTTATTATTCGTAATAGCTAAATATTCATCTCTAAAGCATGAATAAAATGACTAATTTTATTAAAATGATTTATTTAAAATGACTATGAACTAATACTTAATACTGATTGTTATTATATTTTTAATTATATTAATGTTCATTTTTAAAGCATTTATAATTGAATAAAATAGACTTTGAATTAGTAGGAATTTTTATTATATTTTTGATTAAAAATTAGAAATTTAATTTAAAATACCGAGAATAATAAATGTTCTTCCACGGTAAGTGAAGTTGGCAGAGCATCGAATTGAGGTAGATAACTAGACATTACAGACATAATTGTCCGTGAAATGATTTGACCATTTATTGTTACCGAACCAGTTGTTGATTTGATTCTTCCTGCTAGAGTGGCCAAAAATGTCGTCTTTCCAGCACCACTGGAACCACCAAAGATACAATGTATTGTGTGTGATTTTTAAATTTTTAATTATTAATTTTAAAATATAATTCTACTATTTGTTCAATTCATTGAAATTGTAAAAAATTAACTGGAAGTTGGAATCATTTGTTATAAAAAGTTTTTTTCAAATTAATGGAATAAAAATTTGTATAATAATAAGTATATAATTATAATTAAAATTTATAGGATAATTTAATTTTTTCTACAAATAGAGAAAATAATATCAATGCTTTCTATAATTCTTTTCAAATCATATTATAAATAATATTCTATATTTTATTACTTTTATTATATTTAGGAAAATAATATTATAATTATTATAAAAGTAATTTATGATATTTTTAGAACTGATTGGAAAATTTTAAAACAAAATTATACATTTTTTAATATAATACTAAACCATTTTTCAAGTAATTTATTTTTTTTATTTCAGTTAATTATCAGATTAAAAATTACTACAAGTTATTAGTAACTTTTTGTAAGTACCTTGATCCCATTATAGCAATCAGATTCCCCGTCATAGCATAACCAGACACTAAAATCCACACATGTATAATATTATTATTTAAATAGTTTGGCAAAATAGTTTTAAATTTTCTATAAGAAAATTTTTATCAAATAGAAAATTTTTATTTTTAAATAAATAAAAAAATTAATATATAATATTACCTAATATTATTATACAAAATTTTTATATTGATTAAATAGAAAGTTTTTACTTTTTAAAAAAAGTATAAATTAATAATCTATATTACCTCCTTTCAAAATAGTCAAAGTTTCTTCGTACTCTCTTTTTTGGAATTTTTTATAAATAGTTGTGAAAAAATCTCGTTTTTGACGAACAGTCACTGTCAAATTATTCCAAATGATCGTATCTCCAGCATCTTCCAATTTTTCAGTAATCATTGTGTACGAAGATTATAAAAATATATTATTTTTATACTATTTTGTTTCATGAAAAATCATAATATGAATAAATTTTAGAAGTTAGCTACTTAGTTACTTGCGCCGTTTTATCACTGTTATCATGAAATGTCATTATAAAAACATGCCCTATCTCAACCAGAATAAGAATATCTTTATATAGACATGGTAGAGAACAAACTAATTAAAAGATTAAGTAAGTAGTTGAAGACAATTGTATCTTTGTGTCGTGCTCTTTTGCTTTAATAATTATAATAAATTTTTATTAATTTTTTTTCATTTTTATGTAATATTTTATATGTAATATTTTGATGCAATGATTTAATCTCAGAAACAAAAACATCAAAATTTAATCAAATATATCAAATATATCAAACTACTATTTTAAATTGATATAGATACTTATATAGATAATTACATATTTAATTTATAAAAGATTAACTATTATAATTTAATTAATCTAAATATTTGTTTTTTGAAAAGTTAATTGATTTCTAAAGATCTAAAAAATTGATTGTTTTCTAAAAAAAAAGATTTTACTGAGTTTACTTAATTTTTGAAATATTATTTTTAAGATAAATCATTTTATTTGTAAAGAATGAATTGATTTCTGAGATTAATTATTTGAATTCTAAAAAAATAATGACTCTCTAAGACACTTCTGTAAAGATTTTAAAGAATTAACTTTAATAAAACTAATCATTTAATATGTGAACAATAAAGTTAAAATTTATCACTTATAATATCTGAAAATTTAATTTTCTGGAAAATAAAATACTAATTCTACATTTTAACATTCAAATTAAAAATTCTTCAGAAAATGCAATTGATAAATTTAATTTCTCATACATTGTAAGTTCATACATTGTAAATACTACTTGTAAGATAATCCTCTCATAAAAATTTTAATTAGCCTAATAAAAAACAAAATGAAAGAAGAACAAAACATGATTAGCCTTTTAAAAAATTAAAAAACTACATATATATATGTACTTATATAATATTCATAAATATGTGAACAATAAAGTAGTTTTTAAAATTTATCACTTATAACATCTGAAAATTTAATTTTCTGGAAAATAAAATACTAATTCTACATTTTAGCATTCAAATTAAAAATCATTAAAAATTTCTTTTCTTTGACATATCCTATGATAAATCAAATATAAATTGCTGTGCTGTTGTTAATGTACTTTGACTTTGACTTCAAAGTAAATAGGTTTAGTTTTATTTGAAAGAATGAAATTCAATTGCGAAAAATCACTGAATTCTCGAGTCGTCATGGACAGAATGAAAAACAGTTTTATCGTACCCTACGTAATTCCATTAAATGTCAAACATATGTGTATAATCAAGAAAGAATCATCTCAGTGGTTCTCATATTTAACGAATCGATATTTTTTCAAATTAAAACATTTGTTTAAAGCGAATATAAATAAAATCGATAGAAATTATAAATAGAATATTTTTTCAATTCAATTTCTTTTATATTTTTTTTTAAATAATAATAATAATCATTATAATTCATTAAAATATCGTAATACTATTTACTTATAACTAATTATATTCTACATTACGTTATTTAATTATTAATATTAAATCGCCTATCATATCATCAACATCTATCACATTACGTAATTAACATATCCAGAAGTCAATGTAAAATTCATCACTTATTTATCAAGATATAATTTAATTATCAGATCAAAATTAATTAATATTATTCTATAGGAATTATAAAATAAAAAATAAGTAAAGTTATTAAAAATTATTAGATTGTAATTTTTATATAAAGTTTATTTTTATTTTCAATTAACAATGAAAATATAAATTTCCATGTTAGTTATAGTCAAAAAAAAGAAAAATAGAAAATTAAAATAAGAAAACTTATCAAAAGTTATTAGATTACAATTTCTATTACATATTTATTATTATTATCATTACTTTCTATTTATATAAATTTAAAAAAATAAATAATTTTAATAAATTAAAATTTTTACATAAATTATATTTTTTATATTTTTTTAAACAAATTGAAATTATTTGCAATGATCTTTAATTTAAATAAATTATTTTCAATTAACAATGAGATAAAAATAAAAAAAATTTTAAGTTAATTGTCAACTTAAAGAATCAGATTTGAAAAGCACCGCATTAAAAAGTGTCGGCACAGTGAACAAGAACACAGTGAAAAAGAATGTCGAGTCGTGAATATCATTTACGTAATAACGATTACACGCGCAATGACTATGAAATCGCGAATGAATGGTCTAAGGAACATAGCACGAAACTGATGGGAATCAACCCTGAACGAAGTGAATTCTTATTCGTTAAAATTTCTCAAAATGAATTCTTTTGACGAATAGAATAAAAATTCTTTTTCAAGAATTTTTCTCCTATTTCCTTTTAAATCCTGTCGAAATTAATTTTTTTTATTTATTTTAAAAATAGTTTTTATTTATCTGTTTTATTATCCAAATACAATCAATGGAATTGAATATTTGATTCGTTTCAAAAGGAACGATTCTATTTGACTATATTATATTGTAATATTTAATTATAATCGATGGAATTAAATTTTATTATATGTTATTTGTTGTGAAAAAAAGTTTCGATTGTTTATTAATTTTTTATTTATCGTATAAAGAATTCAATTATTATTTATTTGGAATTTTTAACATATCGACTAATTGATTCTTCATCGATTTTAATGATCTTGAAATATATTGCAAATTTTTTAACATTATGTTGAATAACTTTTTACATAAATGTGATCAATTTCAGTTTTTGAATTTATGCAAATAATTTTTTAATACTAAATTATATTGTTAAATTTTTATACTGTGTGCTTTCATAATTGACCATTTACCAATTACATTTGTATATTAATTGTATTGTCATATATATTACAAACACATCACATTAACTAATAATTAATATTTATAGCAAGTAAAATAATATTACTATATTTATTATTAGTATTTATTAATAATAATTTTTCTTTAAATCCATGGAATAGTAAAATGATATTTCACTTTATATTATCATCTTTATCTACATTATTTTTCTTCGTGGAAAAAAATATTTTAAATAAGTACTCAATATTTTCAAAAAGAATTCTAATATAATTTCTATATCTGTATTCTTTATATTGTAAATAGATATATAGAGGTCATATAAAAATCAAATTCCTTTTTTAACAAGAACCATGTATTTTTTTATTTGCATTGAAAGATACAGCATGTTTAAAAATATAAAAATGTACTAAATCACTTAAAGAAATTATTATGTTAGGAAATATTTTTTATAATGCAAATGTAGTATTCTAATACTCTAATGATAGTCAATATTTTTTCAAATATATTAAACTTAATAATTCCAATTATAAAAAATGAATTTGTCCTCTTATCATCTTCGTCACAAAATCCTCAATTATCTTCAAAAAAAATTATGATATTATTCAATATAAAAATAGTAATAAGAAAATTATTAAAAATATGGAATTTTTTCAATATTAATAATAATTAAATATATTTTTTTACAAATAAATTAAATTTAAAAATAATTTAAAAAATTAAAAACAAACAAAAAAATGAAGGGAACTAAGAAAAATAATGCTTCACAATAAATAATTATATTAAATCTCAATCACTTTACTTTATAAATTATGCTTCTTGTATAAATATCATCTCTATAATATATAATATGTATGAACAAAGTATATTTTCAATTAAAAAAAAAAAGTAAAAAAAAATAGAAACGATAAAAAACAATGCAGAGATGCATAATTTTCGTTTTTCTTGTTAAATACATATATTTTTATACATATATTAATTATAATTCGTATAAAAAACACTACTTATTATATCGATACATTAGAAAATGAATGATTTTCAGGCATAATAATCATATTTTTAACATGGAACATAATTTATTTATGAACAGATTAAAATTCAATAACGTATATTAGACTTATTATAATGAACGATAATCAATTATTTTGTTAATTATCTTTTCAATTTGGTTAACACTAGAAATACTAGTCGATCCATTTTGATCTAATAACGATACTAAAATATTTTTTGTTTGTTTTTTTGTTTATTTTAAATTATTTTTCAAAATCAATAATATTTACAATTAATATAGATAAAAGATATATTCAATTATTATAAATAATTATTATAAAGTAAAATTGAGAAGTTTTTTTATTTAAGAAAAAATTAAAACTTGTTTATCTTTCATTTATGTAAAGTTTAAACATATAAATTTAAATTATATTTTCTATCTTATTGTAAAAAAATTTAATTTGGATTGATTGTCATATATTTGTCATAATTACTCTGAAACTGTAAATCTGAAATTGAAAATTTCTGAAAGAAGTCAATTGAAGAGTTTTTTTATTTTTATATAATATTATATTATATATATATAATAATATGTAATATTATTATTATATTTATATTAATACTATATTATATTTTATATAATTTATATTATATATATTATATATAATATAATATTATATATTTTTATATAATATTATATTTTTTAAAACTAGAAAAGACAAATTTCAAGATAATAAATTTTTAATAATTGTGTTATTGTGTTATCATATTTTGTTCTTGAAAATTAAAATTAATTTAATGTTTTATAATGTTTTTGGTAATGAAAATTCTTTAATTCTATCTAAAATTTCTAAAATTTTAATTCTATCTAAAATTTAAAAAAGAAATTTTGACAAAATTAAAACTTTTCTGTTAGATATTCGAAACGTAAAAAAAAACTTTAGTATTTCTAGTGTTAAAATAAATGACAATCATATCCATAATGTTTTTCGCGAGTTAAAAAACAAAAAAAAAAGAATATTTTCTTAACTATTGACTTTATAATTTTATTTATGAAATAAATAGGAATAATCCATTGATTCGTTGATTCATGAAAACTATGAAAGAATCTTATTATTAATTACATGAAATAAGAATTCGTTTTCGCTTTTTCATTTTTCTTATTAAAAAACAGTAATGAAATTTAAAAATTAAAATCGATATGAAAATGGCTGGAATTAGTTTATTTATTATATTAGCATAATCTTTGTCGATTAAGGGGTAGAAATTAAGATTAGATTTCAATAAAATTTATCTTAGTTTCATTTTCAAACGTTAATATTTTTTTCTTTCATTTAATATAAATGTAATTTTTCATAAATTCAATTAAAAAATTTAATAAAAAAATCTGTGAATTAAATATATTATAAAAATATCACTATTTCTTGATTTTTTCAATTTTTATTATTTCGTATTTCAAATAATTCTTTTTCCACCCCTCAAATTCTTTCAATGTTTTTCTAATCCTTCTTTTTTCTAAGTTAATGATAGCTTACTTTCATAATAGCTTTTCTATTTTCCTTCACAGATGAAATTTTCACGTTCAATACTGTACAGCAATAACGAAACGTAGAATTCAATTTCTCGTAATGTTCGCTTCTAATATCAAAGAATTGCAATATTCGAGCAAGAATATATTCAGAGATTTTTTAAAAATTACTATTCAATTGGATTATGGAATCGTATTTACTTCTCAAATTGTTAAGATTAGGAATGGGACACTTGAAATTTCAAGTCATCGAAATTCAAGAAATTTCGAGTTTTATTTAATATTTTTATTTAATTTTTTACAAATTAAAAATATTATTATTGGTTTATTAAAAATTTTAATTATTGATTTATTAAGAATTTTAGAAATTACAATCGTTAAAATTTTAATTTTTCGATTTTTATCCGAGAAAAAGAAGAAATAAAATAATAAGCATTTTGCATTTCGTAAATATATTCGAAAATAAAATAAACTTAAAAATTAGATTTAGATCCATCTCTAATAAAAACGCATCTTTCAAATATAGAAATGTGTTATATTATTGTATGTGGAAAATATAATAAAATTTTCTCTTATTTTTTGAATTTATATCATTTTTAGAAAAAATTATTTTGTACATTTTCACTGAGCGAGTTTCTTAATTTATATTTTTTTATATTATTATATATTATATTAATCTTATAATATAATTTCTCAATTCCATTTTCCATTGAATAGCGTTCTTTTATTAGTGATAGATATACTATATCGATTATTCGTCGCAGCAATCTCGTGTTAACAAAGGCAAGAGTCTTAGTAGCAGTATTTGATTTCGATCAATATTTAACGATAAAATTACCAATAAAAGTTTTCAGCTTTCGAGCTTTCATCGTCATTCGTTGCTTTACAATCTTCTTATCACTTTCATTTATTTTCAGATGGAAGTCTAAATATAAAATTGTAAGCTAAGAATGCTGAGATCAATTTATCCAAGAATTAAAATTATTTCATTTTTAGAATATAGAAGAAAAAATGATTATTAAAAATGATATCAATATAACAAATTAAAAATATAAATGAATATAGGAAATATAAAAAGAATTCTAAATAAAATATATAAAAAAAAATGTTAAAATAGTTTAAAATTAAGAAGTGGAAAATAAAAATGATTCTTTTTGAAATCTAAAATTTAATTTTATAATCTAAATATTTAATTTAGAGCACAAGAATTATAAATTTTCAATTTACTTTTTTCAATTTTTCAAATAAAATTTTCTAGATACGTATTATACTTAATCTATAATTAAACTGAATAAAAATAATTATATTCTATTTAAATAATTTGAAATATTTATAATGAAAAAAAACACTATTACCATTAACACACTTATCAATAACAAAATTACTAGTCATATAATGACAATAAGAATAATAATTATATGTACATTTTCAATATGATATGATAAAAATAAATAAGTTCACAGAATGTAACAAAACACATGATATAAGCAAGAAAAAAGATTCTACATATAAAAATATACTATAAATAAATAATAAAATTTTTTCATTTGAAGTTTTTTCTATTTTATATTTGTAAAATATTTTTCGCTTAATTTCATAATTATTTATTAAATTTTCCAATTCGATTTTCTTGAAAATATTTGAAATGAAAAAAAATATTTTTACGTTAATTATTTTTATATATTATTTTTATATATTTTATATAAATTATTTTTATATATTAGAATAACCTCCTATCAATAATCAATTTGGATTTAGCTAAATTCACATGTACATAAATTTCCAAAATAAATTTTCTTTCAAAAGAGATCTTTAATAAAAAATTATATTCTACATTTTCCACATATTTTTGCGCATATAGAATCACACCTTTCCAGATTGAATCAAAATTACTGTAACATTCTGTACAATCATTCTTATTCAAATAAAATTTAAAATTAATAATTACAAACTCAACAATAACTCAAATATAACAAAATTCAAAATTAATAATTCAAACTGCTAAATACACTATTCCTCAGCATTCCAAGCTTCACTTCCACCAATGTTATGTTACTTATCCCGCAACAAATGCTTGTATATATGTACAAAGATCAAGTGGAAGAACTACACACGATTTATCGTTAGTTTTCATCCAATGATGAAGAATCGTCGACATCCCATGAAAAATGACCATGGTCGATGAAATATTCGCCATTAAGGTATGTTTCACGAATGGGACGTTGATTACATGATCGAAATGAAATCCAACGACAACGATGACGATTGACATGGAGCAATCGAAATGGTATTTTCGTGTCATGGCACCGATGGCTATATGGTGATGGCAGGACAACGATAACGGATCCGATGATTCTGCTATCGGTAAGTTACCGATTCGTCAGCAAGAACAAGATTTCTTTGAACTATTCGGCGATTGATTTAATGCAAAACGTTCACCATCTGTCTGATCTTGTGAACCGTTTCCTTTCATCAGTTGATCGTTTTGGAGAATCTGAAAAAAAAAAAGTAGTGGGTTTGTTAATAGATGGAAGTTAATTAGAATGATTCCTAACCTATATCTCTCAAAGAATCGTTACTTTTATTAACAAATTTTATCATTTATTTATTTTAGCATAACATTTCTCATAACAAAAATGAATTTTGTTTAGAATTTCAGTCATAAGATATACAAAAATTGTGAATTGAAAATTATTTATTAAATTATAAGCAATGTAGATTTGTATTAAATTATATCTTTCGTAGCATAATTTGTCTTGCTTTATTTAACATAAATTTTAATTGTTGTAATTAATAAGTAATTAATAAGGCTCAATTAACATTCTTATATATCAATTTTTGAATTTGTATATCTTTAACATCGATTCTTTTATAAATATATTAATACCTAATGTTATGGATATAATTCATATTAGTTAAATAAATTTTTTTTTATTATATATATTAATTATATTTAGAGTATCACAAAATGCATTTCTATTTTTTTATTATTATTATTTTATGTTGTGTTACATACAAAAATAATTATATATTTGTGTTTTTTATAAATTAAGAAAATATTTAACTTATAATAATATAATAACATAATAGATTTTATTAATAAATATAGATATATTCATGAATTTTACTATTAAATATTATAGTCAATATATTTATGAAAATACGACAAAAAAAAATTGAAATTTCAAATTATCAATCTTTCTTCTATTATTAGCTAGCATTTTAAAAATTAATTAACAAAAAATCATTTTAAAAATTGTTTTGAAACAAATCAGTATCAGTGCATAAGAAAAATATTTTCATCTTCCAAACGATAATTAATTTCGTAATAACATTTACACAATAATGATATTAACAATGAATTATATAGTAATTTTACGAGAATAAATTTACCAGATCTTCTAATAAAATTAACTTAATATGCGACTATTTTCTGTCGTATATCAAGAGAATAAACAGAGAATACAAAATGAACTTATCGATAGGCAGATGGTGTCATTGCACTGAATTAGTTTCTATCGGATAATAACAAATTAACTATGCGTCGTAAGACGATCATTTTGACGCGAGAACACGTCATTGATAAATCCACGAATAACAGCGCGAATAATACACGAGAACTGTTAATCGCGAGGGCAATATTCCACAAATAACTTGCGCGTAGATCTTGGAATTGCTATCTTTATTAATTGAATTTCGCAGTCGAAATAATGAAAACAATTCTAAAAAATATTGATCATTGTAATATGTATTTCATGTTTTAGATTTGAACTTTGTTTATTCGTTGTATTACGATTTATTATATTTCATTCATGGCGGTGATAATAGAATAGACTGTCTAATATTATAAATTCTTTTATTTTAGAAAGAATCATTTGTGATTTATTAATTTTAAGATTGAAAAATAGAGTTATATTTTAGGAAAAAATCATTCGAAATATTATAAAATAATATTATAAAAAAATTATAAATTAATAAGAGACAATCCTTAAACTGTAATTGTTTCTTTTTTTTCAAGAATATTAAAATAAAATAGACTTGTCATATAATGTAAAGTATTAATTAATTTATAAATCAAAAAATTGTCTAAAGATATTCCTTCTTTATGTGAACAATTATTACTCACTTTGTTAACAAGAAATCGTGCAGCCTCTTCAATGTTAATGTTCTCCTTGGCTGAAGTTTCAAACCATCCGGCAAAATTCTTCTCTTTACAATATTCGTCCATTTTCGCGGGCGAATTCACCAGGCCCTCTTTCTGCTGGTCACATTTGTTCGCTAAAAGGACGCAGGGGATCGGTGAACCGTCAGGAAGTTGAACTTTCGAGTCTAAATCTTGTTTCCATTTCACCACCGCATCCAAAGTCGCGCTTCTCGTTACATCGAACACTATGAACGCGCCAACTGCTTCTTTGTAATATACTCTCGTCATGTTTCCGAATCTCTCTTGACCTGACATCAGTAAAAATAACGATTTGATTAATATCTCGATATAATTAATATTTTTCTAGTTGCAGTCCTATCCATAAATTATGCCTGTCCATGAATAAAAATGTAAACTTGATAAATTAAAAAGATTGAGCTTTATATTATCACAAGTCTTTTTTATTTTATTTTAATTTTTTGAATAAGAAAAAAATAGATTATTTTAGTTATTATTTAAAAGAAAATATTTCTGCAGAAATAATAAAAATATAATAATTATAATAGAAATTTAAATAAGGATATAGAATCAGTTTTAGATCAAAAATATAGATCAATAATAATTTCACATAAATTAATAGATTTTATATTTTACAAAAAATTTTTTGCATTAATAATATTTGTATTTGATATTTTCTATTTTTAAATTCTCGAATTCTATGAAATATTTAATATAATTATATTTATTAATGAAATATTTAATAATAATTATATTTATTAATTCAAAATTTTGATTACAAGTATAGATTATTTAATATCTATGGAATAAAATTATTAAGAAATTATAACAAACCTGCAATATCCCATAACTGTAACCTTATGATAGTGTGAGGATCCCAGTTCAATACTTTCAATGCGAAGTCGACGCCAATTGTCGCGCGATAATGTTGGGAAAAGAATTGATGGACGTATCTCTTGATGATGGACGTCTTTCCGGCGCCCAACTCGCCGATTACCAGGATTTTATACAAATGTTCTCGTTTCTCGCCTAATCCGGCATTCGGCGAATTATTCTGTGACGACTGTACAAGCAAAAATAAAATTTTTTTATTATTAAAAAATTCTTTAAGAAATCTTTATTTAAATATATTTTTTTTATCAATATTAAAAATATTAAGTACATTTTTGCAAATGTAAATTGGAAAGAAAATTTATTTATAAATTATTAATCATTGATAATATGATTTTTATTAAAATATATATTCATAATTAAAGATTCTTGAAAAATATATAGTGTTTATATTCATTTTATAAATTATTTGTTAAATTAAGAATTTTTGAAATTTATGAATATGATATAATTTTTGAAAAAATATTTGAATATAATTTATAGCAATTTAAGATCTCATAATTATATACACTTACGTATATAATAATATTGTAATTAATAATTTTAAAATTTTTTGTCAATAATAATAATAATTTTAAAATATTTTGTTGCGTTTATTACGATATATTATATTAATTATTCAATAATTATTTATCATTACATAATTAATTAAATATAATTAATGATATTGTTTAGTTATTACCAAAAAAATTATTAGGGTCAAATTATAATAAACGACTATTATCTTAAGTACTCTCATTGTTTTGTTTTAAATATGGTACTAAAATGAATATCACTTTTTTCTCTCTTATCTTTATTATGCAACTATATTGTTTGATATTTGACACAATTATTATGTATAATTAATAAAAAACATAACAAAATTAATATATTTTTAGAAATATAATGATAAAGTTCGTCGATTTTTTTTAAATAAATTATTTTTAAATGATATTTATATTTAAATAAAATTTGTATTAAACTTTTAGTTTAATTTTAATTAAATTTAATTTAATTTTTTAAAAATTAAATTAAATTAAATTAAATAAAATTTAATTTTTCAATTTTAATTTGGATATTAATAATTTAAATTTATATAATCGAATTTGAATTTAAATTTGAATTTTACATAAATACAAAATAATAATTTTACAATTATTGGAATAAGATTTAAGATGATTCCATATTTTATAAGAATTTCATGCAACGATGTTGCATTTCTGAATTTAGTACTACTTTAGTTATCTTATCGTGTCACGAAGAAGAAAAGAAACGAAGATTAACGAGTAATAAACATTTTAACAGTATAATAAGTAATAAATCACAATTAAAAATATTTTACACACTTAATAATATTTACTCGTTAATTCATATATTTTATCACTAACATAATTCTTCTTAATAACTTTATATTAAATTTAATTTTTAATTTTATATAAACACAAAGTAACAATTTTATAATTATTGAAATAAGATTTAAGAAGATTAATCTACAATTTATTTCAATAAAAATTTTCGTAAATTTATTTTAATATCTATTACCGATTATAATACAAATTATTATAATACAAATTTCTGAAAAATTGAAGAAAACACTTTTATACAAAGAGAAAAATAAAAAAAGAAAGAAAGAATTGAATTAAGTAACCAACCCTGCACCATTTCCAATTTTTTGGATTTATCTTCAAGTCGGAGAAATTTAAAGAACGCGGAAACTTCCGATTTCTTTGCTCGCCCACCATATTGTTTTTAATGCGCACACTCGAATTATTCGTTTACGAATAGCAATAGTTTGTAGCCTGATCGAAACTTGACCGATTATTAGTGAACCGATCGACGAACACCACGTGAATGATTCACCAACGAGAGTCGAGTGGAATGCAAATCGCCGTCTTGTGTCAAAGTGTGTATTGAACTGTCATTGGTGTAGTGTTTACATATGCGTTGGAATTATTTAAGTACAGGATAGTGTAGATATTTTTAATACATTCGATATCATTTGCTTAATTATATGAGAATAAAGTAGTATAAATATTTATTGCATTCGATATCGTGTGATTAATTGTTTTGAATTATTTGTTTTTTTTTTTTGATGTTTTAATTAGGATTCATGTTCGTTATCGTATGAATTATTATTGGATATTTCGCGATTGTTCATCTTTTTCAATTTATTTGATTTAGAATTTGATTATTACTATATCATTAAATGTTTTTGTATTTCTTCATTTCTTTATTTATACATTTTTGTGTCATTCCTTTATTTTTTCATCATTTCATTTAGGTATACTTTTTGTACATTATTTCTTCATTTCTTTATTATATAATTTCTTTTTAACTTTCGTTAAAATTTTTAATTGTAATACAATTATATTTCATACAAAATTTTCTTTTTTAATATATTTATCAATATAAATGAATATTAAATTAATAAACAAATAAATAAGCTATATTATTTTAATACGTAGATATGTATATATGTAATAATAATTACATGTATATATGTAATTATTTATTAAGTATGTATGTACATAAGAGAAATAGAATTGTGGCATATTGTAATAAAATAAAATGACGATCAGAAATATGATCCGTATTTCGTGTGGTTACACTCATGAGGATAATCCGCCATGGAAAATACCGCACGAAACGGTAACCATAAACTCGAAAGTAATAATAATAATCTGTTATAAAGGAAACCATAATGTTACTGCGTGTATAATACCCTATAATACTGTAACATTGTTATGTGCTATATTTAGTAGTAAAACTTAAGTTTTGTTTAAAAATTTATATAATATATAAATTTATATTATAACATATAAAAATATTTCAATATTATATTAATTTTTTTATTAATTTTTATTAATTTATTAATTTAATTCATAAATATAATTACTTTAATTTATGACTTTCTTTATAAATGTAAGTTATATTATAATTATTATGTATCTTTGTATCTTTTATTTATTTATATATTAATTAATTAAGAATTTACTAAGTGTAACTAAAGTTTAGTAAGTGTAGTTTAGAAATCAATGATATTTTACTATTTTTATTAAAAATATTCCATAACTAAATTTCTTTATATTTGAAATACATAAATATTACGAATAAAATGATAAATATTATTCATGTATTTGTTCAGAATTGTGAATATTATCTTAAGGTTAAATCAATATTTAAAAAGTGCCTAATAAAATAAGATCTTTTCAATGCAATGACACTACATTATTTTCGAAAATTATATTTTTAGATAATATAGACATAATCTATTTATCTTTTAAAGAAGATATTTTTAAGCTTAAGAAGATATTTTAAGCTTTAATATTTTTAAATAAATAAGATAATAATAATAAGATTTTTAAATAAATAAAGATAAGAAAGTAATTTTTCAGAATTTTCCATAGTAAACCATTGTTACTTTGCTCACGTGTAATTGAAAATTCCATTGAAATATTCTTTAAATTTTTAAAAATTAAGATTTTTGTGATAAAATTTTAGAAAATATTTTTCATACTTAACAAATTTTAACAATTTTATTTTAAAATATAAAAAAATTTTAAAATATAAAATTAAACAATTGCAATTAAAAAAAAGATTAGATATTTTATATTTATATGACTTAATAATTATAACTTTTATAATTGTAATTTTTATGTACTAATAATTTATTCAAATTTTAAATATTTTAAATATCAAATAATATAATGATATATATAATATATATTATTTAATTAGTAAAGACAACATGTCATAAATCTCAATAATGTGTATAAATAAGTATATTGTACAAAAAAAATATAAATATCTTCAATTATTTCAAATATTTTTGACTTTTAATTTTCCTATTAATCTTGTAGCACTTTAAAGCTTACAATTTAGGCAATGTGAATAATCAATGTGATAATAGATAATAATAAAAATAAATACAAAAAATAGAATGAAATAATCATTTAAAAAGATTATCAAAGATAGAATTAATTTTTTTCATTATTTTTTTGTTATTTTGATCCCATTCACAAATTTTTTATTTATAATTCAAATTTTTCTTTATTCATTATTTTCAATTTCCTTTATTTATTATTTCCTACTTGATTTAGAATTTATTTTTTGTTTTCAATTTTTAATTTAAAATTCTCTTCTTTCCAATTCCTAATATAATTTAAAATTCTATATTCGATCTCTAATTTAATTTACAATTTTTCATTCTAATTCCTAATCTGATTCAAAATTCTTATTCTCTTTTTTACTTTAATTTAAACTTGCCTTTTTTCTAATTCTTAATTTAACTTAAATTAATAAATTCTCTCTTTATTCTAATTTTTAATTTAATTATTTATTATTTAATTTAGAATTTTTTTTATTCTAATCATTCATCTAATTAAAATTCCCAATATTTTTTTATATTATATATATTTATTATTACTATTCAAAATTCTCTATTTAAATTCACTTTTCAACTTCAGTAATCAATATGACTAATAGCTAAATCTTTGAATTAAAATTCCATTCACTTCTAATCTAATTTAGAATTATTTTAATTCCTAATTTGATTAAAAAATCCTTTCATTTAAATTTATAATTCTTTAACCTAAAATCTATGACCTCTTAGCATTACTCATTCATAAATTTACCAAAGAAAAAAAGAACATTTCTTGAATATAATAATCCCTCTCCCTTCTTTCCTTTCGAGTATTTTTCGCCACATTTTCCTCTCGAGACGAAGCTGAGACGTGCTTCAATTAAGCTTCTCGGCGTACTAGGCCAAGATAGAGGGCGCTACTGTCAAGATAGAACACGTCAAACCATGTAACTCAAGAATATCGCATGAAAAATATACAAAAGGATGGGAGCAGATACATGTTGGAACCGCAAACCAGGACCGCAGAATGCGCTATGATTTCTGCGTCATAACGTTACATAGGACATTTCTAGGGACAAATAAAGAAATAAAGAAACGTAGGTTAGTGTTTTGAAATTGTGTCAGGTGTCGATATCGAGAAAGGGAAATCTGATTATGCAAAGCAACTTTAAATCAAAAAAAAAAGCAGAGCTCGATCGATAAGTTTAAACAGTGTCGAGTTACTCGTCCTTTTTTGTATTTGTATTTTTGTATTTAAAAGAAAGATTTTCTTTTTTTTTTATGGTTGATTGAGTTTATGAGAAAAATCGAAATGCCGGTAATTCAGTCTGTTTAAAGATAGAATTTCATTATAAAAAGAATCGATAATTGAAATCTAGAAAGGTAATAATGAAATAATAATCTTCTCAATTTGATTTTAAATGTTAATTTTAAATTTGTTATATTTTTTTATTCGTATTGTCTTATTTTTGAAAGATATTTGTTCATAAATAAAAATGTACATAGTACATCTTTTAATATATGTAATATTTAATATACGTAATATTATTATATACATTAAATTTTAAATAAATTTGATAGAAAATAAAATAAAAATAAAATATAAATAAAAATATTAAAAATTTTGATGATAGTGATTTAAATGAATTATTGTTGAATTTGATTATTATTTTTAATTATAGTTTTTGCAAAAAAGTTAACGTTTTTAATAAAATAATCTATTTTACTGTTTCAATTGACTTTTTTTATAAAAAATATTGCATTTATATAACGAATACAATTATGTTTTTTTTGGCAGAATATATGTATTTTTATAAAAATGAAAAATATAATAAAATGTAGGCAAGTGAAATCTATAATAAGTAGTAGAACTCAAATTTTTTTCAGACAAGTAGTAAAACTCTTTATATACATTATAGATATTTACAGATTAAACAAAATTTATATATAATAATTATATATAAATAATCAACTATAAAAAGCAAAGAAAATATAAAAAAATAAAATATAAATTTTTATGAAACAAATAAAATTTTTAAATTAAATTTTTAAAAAAATAATAAAATTATCAAAAAAATAAAAATAAAATAAAACAATTCAAAATAAAGCAGAAAAAAGCTTAAAAAAAAATGTCGAAGAAATAAGAAAATAAATTAAAAAAAAAGCCAAAGATACCCAAAAACATTCAATGCAATAAATCATTCAAATATAAAAAGAAGAAAATAAGAGCAGTCTTTCCTATTAAAATAATACTATCAAAAAAAAAATAATAAATAAATAAATAATAAAAATATATAATAAATAATCAATTAATAGTTAAATAGTAGTAGAGATAAGTTGAAATTTGATTTTTAATTTCGTAAAAATTCATGAACTCGAAACTTTCGAAACTCAAAATACTTAATTTTTTTTTTCTATTTTTTCTTTAAAATATAAAGTACTATTTTATCAAAATCTAAAATTTTTATAAATTTTGATTTTTAAAATTTTTCAAAACTCAAATTCATAGAGAGGCAATAGTAACAATTTTTATTTTTATCCACAGAGATAAAAATGAACCAATAATTTTAAATTCAATTGAATTATTATCAGTTTTAAATAAAAAATAAATTCATTCATCGCAAAAATTATTCTCATTAATAACAAATTACGATAAATTGTACAAATTATATTCTTCATCTAAATTTCTTCATCTAAATTTCAAAAGTATCAAAAAATTTTGAGGCTTCGCAAAAAACGTTTTTTTTTAAATTTCAAAATACTTTTTTTTGACATTTCGAATTTTCACATTCCTATTAAAAATGTATTCCAACAGAGGAGAGCCAAAAGAAAGAAAAATTAGGGTGAGCAATTGGTTCCTCACCATGCTCTCCTGGTTGACCTTGCTCTTCTCCATCGTGCTGTCGGCCATCATAGGCCCCATACTGGCCACGTAATTCTCGCGCTGCCTCTCGTAACTCTCCGTGTAATCCTCCTCGATACCAGCCAGATAACCAATCCCTGTCTCCTCGTCGAACGTCCCCTCAAACGTGGAAAAGGTGTCGAACTTCTTCACGCTAATATGCCTGGCCTTCTTTTTTGTTTTGTTCTGTTCCACGCGGTTTTCCTCCTCTTTGGCCGATGTTTTGTTTTCGTCGTCGATACTAATAGCGATCACCGTCTCGCCGGAATCCGTGTCCTGAGAAGTCTCGAACAAACGACGTTGAAAAATTGCGCGTTTCTCTTCCAATAACGATAACTTCCGCCTAACTTCGCGGACCGAGGATTTAGATATACTTGACTCTGATTCGGATTTCGTGTACAATTTGGGTTTCTTAGTCGGCTCGTTCGAGGTTGGTCTCGCCTTTTGCTCCGACCATTTTGAAATTGCGTACGGAAGCGTTGAGCTGCACCGCGCTTCCGGTCGAGGTGACTTCTGCTCGGAATCTGCGCATGCACCAGATAACGATACCAGGTTCATTCGACGAATTCGGATGGGATTCAATGTTGAGTTGAAATAGTGGAATAATGATGATGTTTGAAATTTAGCATGTGGTTTGGATTCAGTTTAATAAGGATGGTAGATGTTAAGTTATAATTCAATAAGTTTAGTAAATACAGATGGATGAGTTATAATAATGGTGAATTAATTAAATTCATTTAATAAAACATAATAGAAATATAATATAAATAATTTTAAATAATATAATATAATATAATAATTTTAAATAATTTTAAATAATAATATAATAACATAAATAATAATATAATAACAATAATTTTAAAAGGTGATGGATATTAAAATTATATTGAATGAAAATGCAAATAGAGGATTTAAAATGATAATGCATGAAAAATTGGAATTGAATAATTGAGTTAAATTAAGAAAATACAAGTAGATGGCGGGAAAGAATTGTGAGATTTTAAGTTAGAATTGAATTAAATGAAATATAATGAAAATAAAAATAAAGGGTGAATTTATAAAGATGAATTAAATGAGATAATTTGAAGTAAGCAAATTTTAAATAAGTGATAAAAAACAGGTTAAAGTTGAATAATTAAATTCTGTAATTTCTTAAATATTTTAATATCAAAGATAAAATTTATTAGTAATTTAATTTAATCAAATGAACAGATAATTTAAAATAGTTGAAATGAAGATGGAAAAGATTGAAAAGATAGACTTGAAAAGATTGTTATAACTGTATATTGTAATATAACAATTGAATAAATTAAGTAAGTTTTATTCATTGATTTATTTTAAAATTTTAAAATAAAGTTGAAAAATAATTTTATTAATATAAAGGAAAAATGAAATTTTTAAATTTAATAGTGTTATTATTTTAGAAAATTTGGTTTGAATTATAAAATGCAATTAGAAATTGTGTATTCATTCAGGAAAATTAAGTGCTTAAATTAATTAAAAGAATATTATTATTTATTAATTAAATTTAAATATATTTTATATTATATTGTAACTAATAGATAATTCATTTAATAATACAGTTATTATCTAGATGTTATTTAATTGAATTAATTAAGATATTTATAAAACTAAAAAAAATTAGATAACGAATCCTATTAAAGTTAAATCCTACTTGAAATTGAGTAGCTAAGTTAAAGCTTAATTATTCTTGACATGATTAGTGATTTATTGGATGAAACCATTGACAGAGGTGTTAACAATATTAAATAAGTGATATGGTAAATATCACTTAAATAATTAAACAAGTAAATAAATAAAATTCCAAAAAAAATATAATTTGTACTGTCTTTTTCTTAGACAGAATAACATAACAAAAATAATAAATTTTTATCTCTGAATTTAAATTATTAATTGCATTTTTATGTATTTTAGAAAATATTAATATTATCGAAAATGATTTTATTTACGAATAACTATATTCATATATTATAGGGAAAAATATAATTCTAAGCTATTAAGAATATCTGTTTATTGCATTATATTCCTTAGTTACACAGAAATTAATCATTACACAAATACTATAAAAAATTATGATTGTTGTTTAATAACAGTTAATAATGTTATTTAATAACAGTTGTTCTGAATCCTCGATGAAATAAATTGTTTCCTATCATGTATTTTATTCATTTATTTAAACAGGAAAATTATTTTTCAATACAAAAAAACAATACAAAAAAACAATATCAAAATAAGATAATTAATTCAATATGTTTTTCGTAATAGAATAATGCAAATAATACAAATTATTTTGAATTAAAAAAAGTAAATTTCAATGTCATCATTAGTAATAAACTAATTAATGACATATAAGTCTTTTAAATAAAAATTCATTCATTTCTTTTAAATAAGAATTCATAATTCATCAACTTATCTATTTTATTTTTTTTTTTTAAACTTAGGTAGTAAAAATCAAGTTTCAAAGTATCAATTTTGTCTTTAAAATATTTTTTAATCTTAAATTGAAAACAGTCGTTCAATGGAAAAAGTATAAAAATAAAATTACATACTTCAAAAGTTTTTAAATATTTCTTTCAAATATCAAATATCAAAATAGATGCCAACAAAAGAATTCAAGGCTTTCAAGAAAATATAGCTAATCTAATGTTAATCCAACCACTAATCAATAGAATCAGTAAAATTAATCCAACCATCACAAGCCAAAGAAACCTCAAGAACACACTAAAACAATACTCTTTCATACTCTTTTATTATGTAAGTAGATTCTGTCATTCAGAAACTAACTTATTATAATTCAAATTGTCGTTCAATGTAATTGATAATTCCAGATCATAAATCAAATAGCAAGAGAAAATTCAAAAATAATAATTAATAATTTAAATCATCAGTTAGAACATAATTGAAGATTCCAAATCATCAATGAAATAGTTACTGATAATCAAAAATTATCAGTCAAAATATAATTGAAGACTTTAAATCATCCATCATGAAAATTCCACATTGATAATTGACAAATTATGAATCAGAATATAACTGATAATCCTAAATTATAAAAAATATTAGAATTTCAATTATTAGTTTAATAACAACTTAAAATCTTAAATCATTAATTAGAAAATATCTAAATATATTAAATCAATTATACACATAACAACTGAAGACTCCAAGATTCAAATAAAATCAATTCAAAATCATTAATCAAATGGCAATTGGTGATTCTAAATCATTAATAAGAAGATAAGTAAGATATCAAATTATACATATAATAATTGAAGATTCCAAATTATCAATCAAATCAATTATAACAATTTATTAAGTTAACACTTCAAATTATTGTAATATAAGTGAAGATTTCAAATTATTAATCAAATAACAACTAAAATAACAACTCAAAATCGTCATTTAAATAACAACTAATAATTCAAAATCATTAAATAAAAGATAAATGAAGACACCAAATCATCAATAACAATTAAAGACCTCAAATTATCAATCAATATATTAAATTCCCAAATTATCAGTTAATAACAATTGACAATTTTCATATTTTAAAATCATCAATTAGAACATAATTGGAAATCAATCAGAAAGCATTAAATTATTCCTATTCTATCACATCCACCTAGAGCCAAAAGAAAGAAAAGTTGCAAAAATAGAGTGGAAGTAGAAAAGGGGAGAAAAAGAGAAAAATAGCAAGAGAGAGAAAGAGAGAGAAGACAGAGAGAGAGAGAGAGAGAGAGAGAGAGAGGGATCGCTCACCGTGCTCACTCGTCAAATTGAAGCTCCTGATGGTAAACGACGGCGACTTGCTCTGTACTACGGTCACGCTGCTCACCAGTTTCTCTTGCTTCTCCGGTTTCCTCGGCTCTCCCTTCTCTCTATCCACGTCGTACGAGGGTTCTACGGCCTCGTAGCCGTCGCGATAGCCGAGCCTCTCGACCTCCTGCCTTTTCCTCGCGATCCCGGACGAACTGTCCGAGAAACTAGGCGATTCCTGCGACGATTGGCTCTGTAGACGGCTGTTATCACCACCTTCGGGCGTGTGCCTAGGCTCTTGCTCGGTGGACAGGCGAAATTTGTTCAGGCTTAATTTGCGTACCAACGAGTTCGACTTCTTCTTTTTCTTCTTCAAGGTCGTCGTCGAGCCACCATTCTTGCAATCATCCTCCTCCTCCACCGGGCTCTGCTTGCGATCCGTCTCTGTCATGCGAGAGAGAGAAAGAGAGAGAGAGAGGAGATTTCCGGTCAGAGAACAGATTTCATAGAGAAATTTTGGGATTGTATCAAATTCGAGGTTTGGATTTTTTTTTAGATTTGTTGGTGAGCGATGAAAAATATCCGATTTAGGGGAATTGAGTTAGAGTCTAGTGATTTTAATTGAGGAGATATAATTGATATTATTTATTTGATAATAAATATTAAATGTTAGGTTAAATTGTTAAGAAAATATAATAGATTTTTGGTAAATATTTTGTATAGTAATATATTGTTTTTAGGGATAAATATTTAATTTGATGATTTTAATAAATATGAAAAGAAAAATATATGATAAACATCAGATTATATGAATATAGCTATGAAAATGTAAGTATAAATATGTATTGATAAATAGTGGATGGGTGATTTAAAATTATAAAAGATAATTTTGTAATTTAATTAAGTACAGAATATATATTATAATAAATATAATTGATATAGAATAAATAAATATATAGATATAAGTGATATATATATATACATGACTAGTAAAGGATATGATATGAAAGTAAATATAATAAATGATTTATTGATGAGTAGTTAAAGAATGAATTGGAAGAATTGAAAATAGTTTTATGATTTTACAAAAATAAGAAGAATAATATAATAAATAAATATAATGGCAATAGATGGGCATTAATGAATAAATAGATAAAATAAGATAAAATAGATAAAAGTAATAAATGCATAAGAAGTATAATGATAAATTAATGCTTAAGAAAAATATAATGTATATTATAAATTTAGAACTCATAAAAAAAAAAAATATAATAAAATACTCTATTATCTTCTAAAATAAAAATAATAAATACTTCAACAAAATGTGTTATATTTGTACGTGAAAGATTTGTTATATTATTTTCTAATTAAATTATCCTATTGGATCAGAAGTTCCTATATTTTTAATTGACTAAAATTGGCACATGAACAGAGTCAAAAGTTATGTAAATCAAAAAATAAATCGATCACATAAATCCATTATAATTAAGCAGTTCTTGATAATTCCGTTTGATAATAAACAAGATACAATGCAACTATTAAGATGATTAACATCTCAAGGAATTCATTCAGAAATTTAAAAAAGCATCCTATTGATAATTTTATGTGTCAAGTATTATAACGATTAAAACAAAGAAAGTACCTTTCAAAGAAAATGTTCAATTTAAAAAAGAAACAGAGAACTGTATAATGTTGAATCTTGTAATGTTAAAATAAACCAATATTCATTTTTTAAAGAAAAATTATTTCTAAAATAAAAAAAATAATATTTTGTAAGAATAATAAAAAAGATAATAAATAAAACTCACAAAAAATTTCTTTGTAATTGTCAATCATTTATAAAAATAAATAATTATTATTAAAACAATTATTTATAAAATAAATAAAAAAATATGAAGAAACAACTTCAAACAATTCTACGTTCACAAAAAAAAAATCTCAAAGTGATGATCATCTAAAATAATTATAAATATTAGCAAACTAAAATTGAAATTAAACTTAGTTATAGAAAGTAAGCTTTATAAAAAAATAATTTTTTAAAAATCAAAATAAATAGAATAAGACAAAAAAATCTTTAGAAAATTCTACAGAGTTCTTTCAGATCATCAAAAAAACAAGTAAATCCTGAAACTACCTGAAGAAGCCTTAAAACAATATTCTACCAATAGCCATCGTCAAACCAATACCAATCATCCTCAAAGCAAACGATGACCAACAAAGAGATATACTAGTGGTTCTCAATTTATTTTAATTATTAAATTCTTTTTCTTTTTTCAAAAAAATTAACTCTAATAATTTTTATAAATATAAATTATTACTACAATGTAATAATTTGTAAATATTGAATTTTATTTAAATAAACGTGTCTTTTCAAATATCAATTGGAATTCAAGATCTAATTTAAGAATCCTAAATTCTTTTTAAGAAATATAAATAATTTTTTAAATTTTATATTTAATACGTATTTTTAATAAGTAAATTTTTATCTTAAATACTTTCAATTATTAATTACATATTAATACAAAATCTATTTAACTATTCAAAATTTCAACATCTAATTTCATCACAAAACTCTAAGATCCTATTTCCATAGAAAACTTCACCAACCCTTGCAATCTCGTGACAAACCAACTTCATAGAAAACGACAAAAAATCAAAAAAAAAAAAAAAAGATAAACGTTTCAAGAAATCACAACAATCCTCCTCCTCAAAAAAAAGGACCAGATTTCAAAGAATGAACCTTTTTCCTCGACATCCGGCTGAGGCTCGGCAGCCGGCTCGTCCAGCTGCCTACTCTTCTTCTTAATCTTGAACAATCCACCCTCTTTGCGGAAGCTGCTCTTCAACGCGCCGAATCTGCCCCTCTTCTTGTCCTCTGTGCCGGTCGCGTCGGTGGTGGTCGAGATAGTGGTCGTGCCAACGCTTGTCACCGTATCCAGGCTGGAACTGCTGTCGCCTACAGTCACGTACTCGCCGGAAGTGCTGCACGCGAGTCTATTCCGTTCCTCTTCGGATGAGGAGCGCGCGATTACCGTGTCCGGCGAGCTTCCACCCTCGTTTGCGCTCTCGTTCCGATCCATCCGGGGTAGAAGGGGGCCAGATTAATGGGGTAGGAGTGGCACAAGTCGATTTTTTTGATCTTTTAACGATCCACGAGTCACGATTCTCACTCTGGCGGGTTCGAGAGCCAGTCCACGGGCTGGCTTCCTACAGTCGGCGTGGAAACCTTAGAACAACCGCCTTTCTAGGTTCGATCGGGCCGACTACCACGGATAATCCACCACGTTTCCCCCTCTATTTCTCTTATTCTATTTCTCGGCTAGTCTATCCTATCTATATTTATGATGGATAGGGGAAGGAACGCCTTCTAAGTTCGATGGATGATCTATTGAATGGTTTGTAATGTATGTAAATACATATGTAATAGGTAGGAGACTTATAATTGAAGGAATATCTTCTGGATATATAGTTCTGATCTTTGTTATGAATGGAGAATTTATATATAATATATATATATAAATCTCAGTTGAAAAGACAATTGAAAATCTTTTGGATAACTATTCTTTTAGATACTCTGTTTATGTAGAATGTATCTTTGATGAATGGGAGACTTCTAGCTAAAGAATACCATTTAGATATTCCACTGATTCTAATTATATTATTACATTTATAATATTATATTATAAATTTATAATATGTCAATTAAAAGAAGATATTGTGGTTTTATATTCTTTTAAATATCCTATTTATATAAATAAAAGAATTATAATTGAAGGAATATCTTTTAATTTCTAGTTCTATTCATTCTCTTCTGATGAGAATGTTTGCATGATAAATAGGAAATCTCTAAGAATTAGCTGAAGAAATATCTTTTGAGTTTAATAAATACTTATGTATCCTATGTCTATGTAAAATACTTTTATGATTAATAAGTAATCTATAAATATCTATAAAAAACATTTTCTGAATTTAGTAGATATTTTTCTAAATATTCTTATCTACATATATGATATAAATAAGAAACTTATAGAAAGCAATTGAAAGAATTTGATAAATATTTTCTTGAATAATCTATCTTACGTTTGTGATAGATAGGAAATCTATAAATATCCTATATAATAGATATTTTGAATACACTATTTTAATATATCTATATATTGTATCTTTGATAGATAGAGGACTTATAGTTGAAGAAACATCTTTTGGATTCAATGGATATCCACATTCTTGGGTACACTATTTCTAATAAATAAATAAATAGAAAACTTAATATAAATTGAAAATTGATAATTGAAACAATGTCTTTTAAATTTAGATTAATTAAATTTAGATGTTCTCTAAATATTTTGTTTTATAATATATCTGAAATAAATAAAAAATTTATAACGCATATTAATTATATATCAATAGATACTCTTTTTTTCTGGATATTCTATCTTATGCATATTATATCTATATTGAATATAAATATCTGAAGGACACTTCATGCGAATAGAGATCAGGTTTGTTATGAATAGAAAGTTAGTGAAATGGAGAAGCCTGGGAGCTGTGACTATTCGCGATTTCCTGGATACTGTGGTAACTCAAGGTTCTTTGACACTAGGTCAGGAAGGAGGTCGTTGTTTGAGATCTTATAGATGAGTCATTAAAAGATACTTTTAATATGTTGCTTCGTCAAAATAATTTAAGATAAAGATAATAGATATTATTTTTGAAAGATAAAATTTTCAATATTATTTAAAATTTTGAAATTATTGATTTTTTTATTATATTTTATTTTAATATCTTCAATTACTTTCTTAAAATTGATTCTTTTATTTCTAGATTAAATATGAAATAATTCATTGAATATGTACATTATATTAATTACTTATATCAATTATATTAATTTAATGTAATATAAATAATATAAATACATAAAATTTAATAAATATTATAATTTATTGTAAATAAATATTCATTGTAATTAATAAATAAGTATCCTCATACTTTTGAATTCTTTTATATCTTTCTCAAAAATAAAAGATAATTAGGCGAAAGAAAAATATTCGTGAAAAATATTCTACTTTGTATATTCTATACTAAATTCTGTATTCTTGTTTCGAGTTTCTGAATAAAAAATGATTAGAAGAATCTTGACCCCGTTTTCTGTGAAAAAACTGAAGGAGTAAAAAGAGAATAGTTATAAATAGTTTAAAAGTTATTCAAAGTTTAATTCGATGTTTTTTTACAAAAACTGAATCTTCCTAAAGAATCATACAAATTATAAATTCTATTTATAATGAAATAACTGATATTTGATTTTTAATATTTATAAAAGCAATCTTTACAAAAGGAAATCTTCACAAAGTAAAGAAGTGAAAAATTTTAATTGATTATCTAAATATTTTATAATAAAAAATGATTAGAAAATACTAGAATATATTTTATAATAAATTACAAATAATAATGTATAATTTAAACTCGAAATCATACTTAAAAAATTCAAGTTTGATTTTGAATCGTTTTTGATAATTCTATTAATTTTTGTAAATCACTAAAAATGTCATCAACGACATATAATTTAAAATTTATATACAATTGTTTTTTATTTTTTAATTAAATTTATTGTTTTGCATTATTTTATTTTCAAATTATCATTATACATTATAAAATATTAAGCATTTAAATTATTTTCATTATTGATAAATATTTATAATTTTGTATAAAATTCAGTAAATATAGTTGGATATTTTCATGATGTATTCATATATATCATTTAACAAATAATTTCTAATATTTATACTTTTCCATTATCGATTCCTATTTTCTTAAGAAAAAACAAAAAATTATAATCAATAATAATTTTTCTTTTCTCATAATCAAATAAAAATTCCAATCATAAAACAGATCACGTATCCTACACCCAGCCCAATTCACGAAACGTCGATGAAACAGAACTTTCTTTGAAGGTTCACTAGCAGAAACCTTACAAGTATTCAATCGACCACCTCGAACATCCACCATCATTCGCACTTCCACGCGTATTATACGAAAGCATCAGAACAAGAAGAAACAAAAAGAAAAAAAATAAATAAAATAAAATAATTGAAAACAAAAAAAGTTGAGGAATCGTTCGCGACACTAACGATCCCACGTACGATACCGCACTAAAAGCTCATATAAAAATATCCAAAGGAGGACATGAAGGGAGGAGCGTTATGATACCCCTCCACAAGAAGGTGTTTGTTCGCGCATTAACCAACCTCAAGACGAGTTTTCCGCGCTTCTTGATCCCCGTAGACGGATCCACAACACCGTGACAACACACATAAGCGTAACACGAGTGGTCTTGGTCTTTGGACATAATGTGTGGTGAGCCGCAAGGTCTTGTCATGCAAGTATCGTCCGTGCTTATTGCGGCTCCACCTCGACGAGTAAGTAGTACGTTACGTAAAAAGTTGATTTAGAGTTGGATGTTTTGAATGAAAGAAATGGATTGTCAATTAAGATTATGAGTTTGTCAATTAAGATAAATGGTTAGATTATAAAAAATTAGATTTGTGGAAATTGGATCTTACATAATAATTGATGTAATGAAGAAATTGGATCTTTTAGGAATATATATATATATTTATCAATTAAAATTATATTAAATTAAATATTGAGAGAGATGAAATTTTTAAATTAAAATTTTGAAGAAGATGTAAATTATAATTGGATTAGATTAATGAATAGAATTTTAAAATATATTCTAGATATAGAAGTAAGTTAAAGATAATAGTCAATAAATATAAATGATAAATATAGGATGAAGTTTTAAAAATTAGATCTTTTAGAAGGTATAGAAATAGATTGTTATATAATTGTCAATTAGGATTATATTAGATTAAATATTTTGTGATTGGAGTTTTAAAAAATAAAGATTATTATTGTTTAAAATCAGATATTAAAGAATAAAATTAAAAAGTTTGAAAGTTAAATATTACAAAATACAAAACTAAATTATTAAATAATTTTTATTTATATATAGTTAAGTAGTAGAAAAATGAAACTTCTGAAGGATTAAAGTTTTGAATATAATTATTATTTGGAATTGTATTAAGTGAAGTATTAAAAAAATAAAATCTAGAAATTAAATATTTTAGAACATATAAAATTATATGAAAATTAATTTTGAGATTATATGTGATTAAATATTTAAAAAATGAAATTCTAAGAATTTGATGTTTTGAAATGTATAGAATTAAGTTGATTGCTATTTGAAGTTACATCAGATACTAAAAGAAATGAAATTCTGAGAATTGGATATCTTATAATATTGTTATATTATATAATTTGAGTTATATGTGATCAGTTAAATAGAATTCTGAAATTTCTTAGAATTTAGTCTTCCTGATACAAAATATTATGATTTATATAGATATGTCTAATTGTTGATTGTCTAATTATTAATTATCCTAGAAAGATGATTAATATTTTTATACATATTAAAATTTTGCTTCTAGAATAATTTACAATTGTTTTTATCAGAAAATATCTATTTCATGATTAATTTATTATATATTTATTTATTATATATAATTTAACGGAGTATTAAAAAAACTGTCATGTATAATAAAAAATTAAAAAAATGATTTATCAAAAAATAAAAAATAATAATAACTTTTATAATTCAATAACTATGTATTAATTGAAAAAAATTCATTGCTTCTTCTTAAAATAGTTCGCTCTTATTTTACTTTACTCTTTTTCTCTCTCTCTCTCTCTTACGCGCACGCACAAACATTTTCGCTTTTATTCTCTTATATATAATTATATTGAAATAAATGTAAATTGTGATTATGATTGTTTTGAATAAATGAGTTAAAATAATAGAAAGAATATGAAGAAAATATGAGTCACTTGGTCAGACTGATCCTAGGGTATTGAATAACTTGTAAGCAATTCAAATATCTTCTTTTAAAACCTACGATCTAATCAAGCTGAACTTGATATCTGAATGCTAATAATATATTAATATTTTAATTATATAATAATCAAGAATCAATAACAAGAAAAAATATCAATTTTCCAATAATAAAATTCATTGTAAGATATTTGATACCAAGATAGAATATAATGGTATTTATTATATTAAATACGTCACATTTACAATGTTTAAATTATCTTTAATATCATATCAGCATTCAAATCATTATTGCTTTTTAATAATGATAAAAAAATAATAATATTTATTGATATTCAATTTATCAAAATATCCCAATTATTTTTTCTTAATCATATCTAATATCAAATGTTACTAACTGCTAATATGTATTTCAAAAATTAGTTTAAAATTAAAATCAGAAATTTTAAATAAATGATATTACTAGATAAATAAAATAAATTTAAAGAAAAATTATATTTCTCAATTATATTTTCAAGTTAGGTTTTTAAAATATCAACTTCAAATCTACTGTCCAATATCTTTTAGAATTGTTTATTGTTCTTTTTCAAACTCAGAAAAAGATTAATCGTTTAATATATAGAATAACAAATCTCTAGATTTAATTCTTAAAAAACATAATAGAATTCGTTTTATGCGAAGCAGTATTTTGCAAATTATTTTTCATGTGCTAATTATCGAATACATAGTGCAACTTGCTAATAATTCTATTAATTAATTAAAAACAATGGGATGGGAATGAGCCAGTGATAAAACCAGAGTTAAACTGGCCACAAAATGATTTTTCAATCCAATAAGATTAAAACATTTTTCTCTTGTATATAATCTTGATTGAGAACAGCAACATCAGATTTTATTTAAACAAAAATAATTTATTTTATTTATATATTTAATATTGCAATTTTATATAATAATATAAAATATAAAACATTAGCAGCCAGATATAATGAATAATTTTCTTTTAATATGTTTGAATTTTAATATGTATGAAGATTTAAATAAAATTAAATTTTTATAAAATAATTTTTGAAAAATAAGTTTCATAACTTTCCAACATTTCATTTATGTTGATTTAAATTCAATATAGTCAATATTTTTCAATCATGACGGTTCAATTAAATTAAGTTAAGTTAGATTAGGTTTCTTTTTATATATATATTTATTTATTTATTTTTAATAAAACTTATTATATTTATAAATTTAAATTATAATATATTTAATTATATTATAATTATAATATATTTAAATTAAATATATTTATAAATTTTAATTTTTTCACTCTTTAATCAACATTTTATTATGAAACATGTAACTTAAATCTTATGTTTTCAATTCAATCTCAAATGTTAAAATACAAAAATAAAATGTTCAAAAAGATAATAATATTGCAAAAAAAAAATAATAATTAAAATATATGATTAATTTTTATTTAATCATAAAATATACTTTAAAATATTTTAAAGTTTAATATTTTAAATTAAATCTGATTAAAGATAATCATGAAATGACGAAATAACGGATCCTTTGCGAATCCATGAAATTACACAAATTTTCAAGTATATCACATATTCTTTCATTTCACTTATATAAATCGCTTTTAAACCTAACTAGTAAGTAAGTTTTTGTTGTATATTATTTTTATTATTGAATCTAATTGTATTTTTCTGCAATCTATAAAAGTCGCAATTAGACATTTTAATAATAATTACGGGGATGACTTATTTTGAACATAATCTAACTTAGTCAATTGATTAGCAGGAAGACATAACTTAAAACTCTTGATTCGAATTGCAGATTTTTTTTTCAATATTATAATTTATTTATCTAAGAATCTTATTTTTTTTTTCTTTTATTTTTATTTCATTATAATATATGAAAAATAGAATGGAAAATTATTATCATTCGAATCTGACTTAATCTGACTTAATTTATTAATTAGAAAATATGAATAAATTCTTGATTCGAATTATAAATTGTTTCGGGTATTATAATTTATTTATTTATAAATCTTCTTTTTTGATTAATTTTTAGTTCGTTATTTTTTATCATAATAATTTATCTAATCTATTCTAATCTAAATTTATTAATTGAAAAATATAATTTAATAAACTTTCGATTCAAATTTTTTTTTTGAATTTGTAATTTTTTAGTCTATGGACCTTATATTTTTTTATTTTTTTTTTTTGTTTTTAATTCATTATGATAGATTTTAATAATCTTATAACATATAATGAGATCAGAAAATCAATTAAAATTTATATAATTGAGCGTTTAGATAAATTAATAGAAATTTGAAAAAGTAACAGACTGAAAATAAAGAGTTAACTTTCGTCTAATATGTTGTACACGATACCACGTGTTATTATTATTAGCTAATGATATTAACTAATTTTTAATTTAAAATATTAATGAAAGATAGTCAGTATTTTTGTTATAAAACAAATAAGAGATTCATACATGCATCCTGTTTTCAAAACATGTAAAACTATAAGTATTTGAGTGTTTTATTATTTAGAAATTCATTTGTCTAATAAATGTAATAAAAAATTTGTTTTATTTTGAATATTTTTTTCATTTCTTAACAATTTGATCAAAAAAAATGTAAAAAAGATTAAATTATACTTCAATTATCTTCATTAAATGTTCATTAAATTTTATTATCTTATTATTGTTTAAAAAAAATTACAAATGAAATATTGTGAAATCTTAAAATTCATGCGCTTTATCTGCAAATATGTAAATAATAATTACTATACAATATTAAAAAACTAAGAAATTATATAATGATTTCACAAAATATTGCAATCATATTATTTCAAATAAAAGTAAATATAAAGCAGGTTCAATCACAAGGCAATCTCGTTCAAATTACAAAACATAATTAATCTTACCAATTACTAATGCTCATTTGATCCATGAGAAAATGAAAATTGAGAAGATGAAATGATAATCATTTTATTTTTAAGGATGATCTCGACGATTATCACTCTACGTTATAATCTTGCTGTCCTCGAGGGGTGCTTTATGTAAGATACTAGTTTCTAAACAATTTCATTAAACATGATCTCTATCTTTTACGAGTTTTATCACTATTTTTTGATTAGATAATAAGAGTTAATTAAAATTCATTTATTATTTAAGAAAGGATGAAATTCTTTAGCAATAATTAAATTTTTTTTATTATAACTATGATTTAAATTGTTATATTAATACATTAGTAGATATATGTAAATATTTAATTTCATTATATTTAATATTATTA